TTATTTGGTTGGGTTTGAAACAAATATTTAAGAAAATTACATATATGAAATAAAAAGAAGTTTCCATAACCATGTTGCAGTCAAACATAGCCCATATAACGAAGCCACACTAGTAAAAGATTTCTTTTCAAACACAGGTGCAAATACTGGCCATTCTTGACCTTGCATGTGCAAATATCCTTGTGATTTCTGGTTCATCAGCCTTAACCAACATTTCTGGGGACTGGCTCCAGGTGAAGGTCCTGGGCTAGATGTCTTCTTGAAGAGGGACACGCACACGCATACTCACTTGCATACACTCACACACTCCCAGTAGCTGCTGAGCCTGCAAGGAAGCCAAATACCACCTTGACAGCAACGTGGTGAATTGGGGAAGCTTAGGGAAAGGATAGGCATCTGGGAACAGGAAGATCAAACAGGGCCCATCATCTTAAAGGGGCATTTAAAATCCCTAAAAAGGACTGAAGAAAGACCTTGGTCTCCAGTCTGAATGTCAGAGCTGAGGAAATGAAAGTCCAAAGAAATCACCAGACCTGCCCAAGATCCACACCCACTTCAGCAGCACAGGAACTGGAACTCTGGGGCCCCTGTCTATCCTAGTATTCTTTCCTGCCTATACTTTTCAGAAGTCGCTGAATTATCCATTTTTCTTCCGTGTCCATATCTACCAGGGCTGAGAAAGTAGAGGCTAGAGGACATTAAGCATGTCTTTTCATTTACAAAACCGACACTCTGGTTGAGGTGATAAGGAGGACCCTTGGCTTCACCAAAGCTGCCCCTTGTCTCAACTGCTCTGGGTCAAGGCTGCTTCAGCATCTCCGCCCACTGGCCAGCCAGTCACTAGTCAGTCACTAATGAGCCTGGAGGTAAGCATGACAGAAACACTAAAATATACCTTCACAAATTCATAAAGGCAAAAATGTTTTGAACATCAAAATTATTTTCAGTTACTGAAAAAGAAAAGCAACTAGGGTCCTCACTGCCATATGGAGGCTTTATGAACCCCCCCCCCTTTTTCTTTATACAGAACAAACTCTTTCAGGCACTCATGTTCTGTTCTATATGCAAGTCTTCCCTTAGTAATAAAAGTAGAAATTGAAAAAAGCCCAATCTGACAACAGCACATTTCTTTTCTGTGACCAAAGACTACCGTGTCAATGTTTATATGTTTATGGAGATGAACTTACTTTGAAAGTAATTTAACAATGAAATCATGGGCTAACATATTGATATTTATTTATTCATTCATTCATTCATTCATTTATTTATAGTTAAATAAAAAGCTCAAGAAGTGAGCGGCTCTCTCAGATGCAAGGGTTTTCTGTGCTCACACAAGCACACCCACATTTCTTCAACATACCATTTCGCAAGTGCTGTGTATTATTAAGAAGAGGCGGATTCTGCCAGGCACATAATTTGTATATTTAAGGGAGGTGTATGGAATGAAAAAGCGAAATATGTTAAATTTCAAAGGACTTGGAAGCAATGCTGCCTGTGAGCTTGTATTACAAATAGCCCTACATTATTACATACGCTATTAATGAGGCCGAGTGAATGAAAGTACAATTTGAATATGCATGACTCTACCCAATGGCAGGACTTTTGTGTACTGATGAGGTTTTTTTTTTTTCCACCCTCCTAAAAAAGGATTAAAATTATTCCTAGAGAAGTATGGCTGCCCAGAGACCAGTAAAATAAATGGACTTAGATCAGAGTCATAGTATATTTAGATGAAATATACAGGTGCTAAAAGAAATGCCTTTGACTCTACCTACAATTCTTGAAACTTGTGCATAATCCTGTCCTCCTCTAAGGCATATTCGTCAACTTCAAGTGGCTGTGTCAATATAATTTCTAAGCAAAAATAATGATTTTGGTGGGGATCTCTAAAAGCAGGCAAGGTTAAATAAACCTTTTGAGTACAAAGCCTTTACTTCCACAGTAAGGAGCACTAGTTAAAAGACTGGGGAATGGGTAAATTATTGCACCAAATGGCTGAGAATTAATCTCTGCTGACTAGCTGTAATCTAACGAGGCGTCTGTGTCCCAGGGAGCCCGCAGCATGTCCCTGGCGGTATGTGCAGTGTGTCGAGTCTGCGTGGCACCCTTTGTCCTCGCTCACAGGCGGCCTTTCCCCTCATTGTCCATAATATCCTCATGCATCTGGGACGCGTGGAATGCATTCATACTAACAGACTTACCATTGTTTTCTCTCAGAAGCTTTGTTGAGCAAAGACTGCATCACGGTTACTGATAATTATATTGCTTAATTAATCAAGACAAAAAAATTTGCAAATCATTGCCTGGTTGCCAAGCAGGGAGATAAAAAATGACAACAATACAAGCTGAAGCAATATAACAAAAGTAACAGCTATCTGATCAGAAATTCTTATATAATGAAGCTATTAATGCTAAATCGGTTAATGTTAACATTGCTCCAGGTGTCTCTACTTAGATGCAAACAAAAAGGCTAACATTATGGATATAAAAGGCCAAATGTTGCCATGGATTCTGTAACCTGATAGAGAGGACAGCCTTTTCATTTGATTAGGGAATGCAATTTAAATACCAGGGACTGAAGCCAAACAAACAGACTTTCCCTCCACAAGCCTCTTGCATTCACCCTGGGGTCAGTGGTTGGTGAACAAAAGGTCAGCCACACTTGCCCTGGAAATGTCTGGATTAATTTTATTACATTGTAATGGTTTGTACTTTAAATGTGGGGATAACACTAAATTTCCAGTTGGCCATTATTCTCTTCTTCCCTTTAGGCTTTTTGAATTGAAATATTAAGACAGCGATTTGCTCAATTCATCTTGTCAAAATTTATGACCAAATTTATAAAACTTATATTTTCTAAAGAAATTTTAAAAACATGTTAATCTTTGTTTTCATGTGTTAAAAGTTTGATACCTTTTTAAAAATCACTTTTTAAGAAAGTTTAAAGTGTCATTCTTGACACTATAAAATGAATTGAAATATCTTTTATGTACTTTATTTACTACAAAAATAAAGGAGTCATTTTTAGCATGTTATATGATGCTTTACAGGGCCATATTGAGAATGAACTAATGAAGCCAGTTAATCCATACTAAATATTAAAAAACCATATTTTCCCTATTTGGAAGCTATAGGACACTGAATCTGTTGGTTGTCTAATATTAATGTTTTCTGCTGAAAACATTAGCGTTCTTCCTGGACAGACAGAAATGTTATTAAGCACTCAGAACCATTTTAATACACAAGAGTGAAAACTTCACACACACAAGATGTGAATCAAATATAAGTCAGTTGGTTAAGTATCCAACTCTTCATTTTGGCTCAGGTAATGATCTCACAGTTCATGAGATCAAACCCCATGTGTGGCTCCGTGCTGAGAGTGCGGAGCCTGCTTGGGATTTCTGTCTCCCTCTCTCTGCCCCTCCTATGGGTGCATGTGCACACTCTCTCTTTGAAAATAAATAAATAAACATTTTAAAAAAGGAAAAGAAGGGGCACCTGTGTGGCTCAGTTGGTTAAGTGTCTGACTTTGGCTCAGGTCATGATCTCACAGTCTTGGGTTGGAGCCCCATGTCAAGCTCTGTGCTGACAGCTAGCTCAGAGTCTGGAGCCTACTTCGGATTCTGTATCTTCCTCTCTTTCTGACCCTCACCTCACCCTGCTTCTCTCTCTCTCTCTCTCTCTCTCTCTATCTCAGAAATAAAGTATTAAAAAAAGAAAGAAAGATAATACCAAGATGTAGTGTGAAGAAATTGTGGAATCTCCACTCCCTGAATAGAAAACAGGATTCCCTTTAAGTCAGGCATCTCACTGGGCAGACTGAGACTTTCCTGAATTTAGAAGGTGGCTTCTAGACTGAGAAATGATAAGCATGTTACACTTGGGATTCATTACTTACTCTCTTTTCATGGTAGTGACTGTAATAGAAAAATAACAGCAGTAATAGTAATAATAACAATAAGAGCAACAACCAACAACTTCAAAGCTTTTATTCTGAGCAAGCCACTGTTTGCAGCACCTTTCATTTCTTAGCTCTTTAATCCTTATAACTTTAACACCAAAGATTATCTTAAAATGCGAGTAAATCTCAGTTACCGCTCATTTTAAAGCTCAAAAATAGAGTGTTTAGAATGGTAACTTTTAGCCCCTTTAGGAGAACAAGTTGCAAAAAAAATGATGATTACACTTAATACCAAGCTAGAGCACGGAGTTGTTTTCTGGAGGAGGAGTGACTTAACTACGCTAAACATTTAATTAAAAACTTAATAACCAACCCTTCTATTAATAATTCTAACGCAAAAACAAGTCACTATATAAAACACAGCTAAAATATCAGTAAAGGCATGGCAAGGATCGAAGCCCCAGCCAATTTTGTACACAGCACATAACCATTGGATTGTTCTAGCCATTCCCATGATCGATACCAATTGACATGGTTGCATTGATCTGGTGGCAAGGTGCTTCAATTGTTAAAAGTCATCACATGGCTGTGCCGCAGAGGCCTAACCTCTTCACAGACATGCCTGCAACCCTTCAGGACTGACCCCCATTAGCAGCAGTCAGGGGCTTGGAGAGCAGTGCCTGTTTGTCACGCCAGGTGGAATTCTATACCCATGGCCAGCCACAAAATCCTTGATGTGATGTGGGGTTCTTCCAACTCTTATTATTGTTATTATTAATCAATCTGTGCCAAATGTAAAATTACAACTTTTAAATTAAAAAAAATTAAATTTAAAGCATCTAAAATATCATGAATGCCTTTATGTTCTAATTTTCAAAGAGTCTAGTAGTAAACTATAGAATTCTGTGCTCATGAAGATACTCTGAAAGTCTCAATTCAGACTGAATTTCTTTATAGCATGTATACTTCAGATACATGTGAGACATTCACCAGTTGGACAAAAGTCCCCTTTAACATACTTATATCATTGTTTCTCAAAAACAGCAACTTGAATGGCAAATGCTGTATGAGTCAGAGTGATAATATGGTGAAAACGTACCTCGGGTTTCTTCGTGATCGCGATAAAGAACATGTGATTCTTCACTGGGTAAATAATGATTGAAACGTCTCCAAAGGCAGTTGGGATAATGCCCCTGCGATAGTCCCTGGAGTGTTCAGACCAGACGATGTGGACCTCATCATTCCCCAAGTGACGAAGCTGCAATGGCCAATTGGCTCCTTATTAATCAGAGTGATAACAGCAGTTTATGAGGGGTCGCGGCTTACAAATTGAATTATAATACTCAGAAGCAAAAGTATTTCACTATCAAAAAAAGGTACAACACTGCTGTCTTCTATAAGGGTTAAAAAAACACAAGGACATGAAAACACCTCTCACGTATGAAATACACTGGCACTGAGATGATGCATAGAAGCACAGGAGGTACATTATGGCTGGATGGGGACAAGACCTTTACAAGGATTTTGTTAAATTGAATTTTACTCATGTATTAAAGCCTTATGCTTCATATTGCTAAGCATGTTTCTAAACAATTAACGACATGAGCCTTTTATTCCATATGACAATAGGGCTTCATAAAATTCTTAATTCAATGGTTATTAAGAAAAAAATATGAATATAAGAGAACATAAGCCACTCTAACACAATTATTACCAAATGTATAAGAACTACATTTGTAACAAAGCTTTAAGAAAAAGTCTGCATAAATTACCTTTGTTTAAGAAACTAATAAATGACTTCAATTTAATAAGAACACTAGTACCTAGTCTTCAAAGAGTCCCTTCCTATCCAGAAAGTATGTTCACATGTATTGTTTTTTTCTGCCTTTCTGCCTTCTCTCTGAGGCAGGCGACATCATCTTTCTGTTAGGTGACAAGGAGGATGGATATGGGGCTCAGGAAGGCAAAAGCAGCACCTATACAAGGTACATGAACAGTGAGCAGCATGGCAGGCCTGGGGACCGGGCCAGGGCCTCTCAGTGCCATTCCCACTGCTCACAGCCACCTAAGTCAGGTGTACTGCTGTAGCTCAGACAGCATGGCCCACTATTTTTGTCATTATATACACAAAGAGGCTGTCAAGTCCGAAAACACATCAGAGACTCCTGGCCTCTCTGAGCAGGGGAAGGGACCCTTTGAGGCTTCCTCCCGGGCCAAGCTCTTCAGACACAAGAACACCCTTGATAATGCTCCTGCATTCTGACTGCACATCCTGGGCTAGAGATGTGCACAGGTGAAACTGACACAGATGAAACTATCTAGTAAGCCTGAAAGTGTGGCTAAAAGAAACTAGATTATAAAGATTAAAATGTTGGCCAATATTGAAGTCCTACAACCATAAAGGCTGACTGCTGAAGGACCTCTTACACCTATGGAAAATCTGAGGTTTGGTTCTCCCTCACACTGTAGGAGAAGAATGCTATCTACCACCAGGAAAAAGCATTTCTGGCTTCCTAGTTTATTTAAAAGATGAATATGACTTTTAGTCTAATATGACTAAATTCAGAGGCACTGTTAATCAAACAGGGATGTTGTGCCAAAGGTAATGTTTTAATTTTGTATTAAGATACAAAAAATGAAAAAAAGCAAAAAAGGGGATGCTCTGAAATAACATATATTTATTTATTTTTCTTTAATAGTTTATTGTCAAGTTGGTTTCCATATAACACCCAGTGCTAATCCCCACATGATGAAGCACCCTCCTCCATGCCTATCACCCCCCCTCCCCCCCCCCCCCCCCGTCCTAGTTTGTTCTTAGCATTCAAGAGTCTCTCATGGTTTGCCTCCCTCCCTCTCCCCAACTACTTTTCCCCTTCTCCTCCCCCATGGTCCTCTGTTAAGTTCCTCCTAATCCACCTATACGTGCAAACATATGGGGAATACCATGTATTTAAAATCTGCTTGCATAAATACAGTTTTCTTTATAGACAATTTGACCACAAAAGAAAAATCCAAGGTAACCCCAACATGGCCTCCTTTCCATTTACAAAGTTACAGGAAGTTGGTTTCCTGCAATGCTTTCTTATTCTTCACCCTTTCAAGCTTCTGGGAATGACTGTGTGAGTCAATTTTTTAAAACAGATTTACACCAGTACCTTTGTATTGGGGTACAGGTGCATCTGCAGGTGGCCTCTACAGTGAGGGGTGCCTGATTCAACTATTCAGAACATGAACTCTGAGACAAATGTAACTGTGGGTGATGAGCACAAGTCGCGATGATCCAGGATAATTTAATGGTGACTATGACTTTCTAAATGTAAAATTATTCAGTACAACTCTTTTTTCTTCTCCCCCTCTCAGATGTCAAGGCTAGAAGGGTGGCAGGTAAAAGGTGTAGTCAACACATTACTATCCATAAATAGTTAAAAGAAAAAAAAAGACACTAGGTTCTCACAGTAACATTGAACTTCTCTATTTCTCTATTTTTACCTCTCTTTCTTTTCTCTTTCCTTTTTAATAAAACATGCCAGGCTCTCACAACACACCCCTGAAATTCAGTCCTTTTGGAGTGAAAACAAGGAAGCCAGCATCACCAGCAACATAGTAGAGGCATGTTTTCAAGGGAAATAGGAATAGTATCAAATCAAACTTTTGGGGGGAAATTTAGACCAGCAGAAGGTAATTGTGACAGTGGGGCTGCCCTCATCCTATAAAGAGAAGCAACATTCTGGGTGGTTATGTGCCCCTTGATATAACGCTGGCACTAAAGTCAGAATGAGAAGAACATACCTACTAAATACCTTTCAAATGTGGGCTACCACCTAATGCCAGCACCCTAAAGCCTGTGATGGCTCCTTTCAATCCAGAAGTGTAAGTTGCGAGGCATTAGGTAATACAGTGATTACTGAACTTCTGCAGTTACTCTGCCTTTTCTCAATTAGGTTCCTCAATTATATAATCCATGTAAGTCTCTTGTACTTGGGCTGTACTCTTGGAACCACAGCAAGGGAGAAAAATATCATATTGCCACACCCATCCTCCCAGTGTGGCATTTTTGTAATTAATGTAAAGCTATTTTTGTGTGGTAGTGATACAATATTCATCATTTCAAAGCTGCTTTCAATGTCATGTGCCCCAGAGCTCTGGACAAGTTACAGTTTAATTAGCTAACTCACAAAACTCAGAGCTAAGGCCACAGGACCCCACTGACTAATAGATCTGGAGAAGGAGCAAACACATGCCCTCTTCTGACTAAGACAAGAATACATGAAGGTGAAACAAGTAAAACTAACTTGGCCAAATTGTCCATCATGTCAGAATATGAAAGAACACTCTGGAAACTTCAATGAAGCTTCTGGAAGCTCAATTTAAAGGGGCTTTCATTACAGAGATGTCATTTTATGAGTTTTGGAGAATTCAGAATCGAAGCTCCAAACTGAAGTCCACCAGTGAGTTTGCTGCATGCACACAAGTCAAGCTGGCATGACTCATGTAATCTGGGAGAGGCTGATGAGTCCCGTCCTGGGATGGAGCTGTCATTCACGCCAGCTACCACTTCAACTGCACAACAGGCTCCAGAATGCACGGATGCTTAACAGGCTTGGAACAAATGCTCGGTTCTTAAGTCTTAAGAAATCAACCCCGTGTCCTGCCTCTTCTCGTCCTGACAGAGTTTTAAAGTCCCTCTGCCTGGGCCATTCTCCCTGCTGCTGCCAGGCGGCATGCACTGGTGACACTGGTCATGGTACACACCTAATAGGCTGACCTCCTTTCCCAACTAATTGCATTACATCGCCAGCTGGCTCCAGAAGGAGTCGTCTGTTTGATTGAAGAATTCCTGCTCCTCAGTGGGCCCGGCTGCTACTTTTACTAAGTAACAGTCAGGCCTGACATCCCCATTGTTCGGCTGACAGTGTGCCCATCCTAAAATCTAAGTTTTATTTGTAAATTAACCAAGAAACTTCCTGCCAGAACAGTGCTGCCTGGAGACTGATAATGTGGGCCTTTCATCCCTTTTCACTCGTACTGTATCACTGCCAATTTGTTTTTTATGCGGCTGGCCAGCCTGAGGCTATAAAAGCCTTGTAAGACATAAGTGCAATTATAGTCCTGGAGTCAAATGAATTGGACAAATCCAATAGCACAGCTCTGTCCCCACTCTGCAAACCCCTACAGCAGTTAGATTAGCTGTGAAAAATCTAATCTAGCTAGAGCTAACAAATTTCCGCAGTGAAGGATCAAGAGTTCAGTATGGGGTTGCAACCGGATTGCAGAATTGAAAAAGTGCCCCCATGACAGGGGCAGAAGAGAGCATGAATCACTTTAGAATTTTGCAGCTCATTTTTAAGCTGTTAGGGACAATTTAGTTAGAATAAGACAAGGAACTGTGGGCTGCTGTTACTGTGACTGATTTTCAGTCTGGCTGTGAGACATCCTGATAAAGAAAGTTTGTCACTAATGATGCTAAATCTAGGAGCTGCAAAAGGTATCAGATGAATTTTGATTATTACAGTAGGGAATCTTTCTACCAGGCCAAGCCTTGCAACATTATTTATAGCAAGGTGTTGTATCAATAAAACATGATGTCTTTTCTCAAAAAAAATTAAAATTAAAATTAAAAAAACAACGAAAAAGAAAAGAAAGACAGTCCTACTTAGGAAATAATTTAAAATATTTTAAGTAAACCTATTAACAACAATAGCTCTCAGTCATAAAAAAGTCAGAATATGGCAACACATTTGTGGATTAGCAACAATTTATGGAGTACTGCAAATAAAAAGGATGTGTAAGCCTTGCCTGAGGTCTTGGTAATCTGAAATAGAGTAGGGTTTCCTTCATTAGAACGCCACCACCAGGGAGGCGAAGACCTAAGGCAGCTCCTCCATGGCTGAGGGAACAACACATGGCCAGTGGGAGGCCATGCTAGCAGGTGGCCCACAGAGTGAAAGCCCGTGGTAGCACATCCCAGACACTTAGTCACTGAAAGTTGTCTGTGACTGCACCACAGCCCGAGTTCGGAGGTCTTAAGAACACTGCTTTCCCCGATGTAGGTGGTCTAAACATTTGGGGCTGCAGTAATAAAGAAGCAAAACCGCAGAGAAAAGAGATGAGGTGGGTAATAGTGGGGTCTACTGGCCAATATCAATCACCTCCTAATGAAGCAAGAGGAAAAAGACTCAATTAGACTGGTGGGCAATGATGAGGGCTGACCATTAGAGATCTTACCCCAGGCCCCATGCTAAGTAGTTTCACAGGCATTATCCATTTATTTCACCACCACCTTGGGACACAGGCTGTTTTCAATCTTGTTTAGTAGATGGGGAAACTGAGGCATGAGCTAGTAACTGGATACACACTTGAGCCCAGGCCTGCCTGTCTCCAGACCCTGGCTATAACCAACACAGCAGATCCTCCAATGGTAGGCTTAGTTTCCGAATGAACTGCTTTCCCACCTGCTCAGCTGCTGTCTGCAGTTTTCTTGCAGGAACAGAGTGGGTGAAGTAGAGATTCCAGGCTTGTGCTGCCACCCACTAGCAGGCTAGCTACAGTTGTTCCTTTCCTCTGCAAACTCACAGAGGTCGGTCAGATTTCTAGGCTTGCTTTCCAGACTAAGATTCCTCTTCTGCTAAGGAACTCCTCACCTCTAAGAGAGTGTCACCTTAAGTGAACACCATAGAGATTGGAAAGTTCAGGATCATGTTCCCCTGGGGGTTTCTCAGAGGTGGAGGAGGTTTACTCTAAATTCTAGAGAAAACTGCCTACCAGGTGCAGTGCCAAAGGTGGGATCCCTAGACAGAAGCACACCTGCACTTGTCATTTTCACAGATATTGCCCAACTGCCCCCAGCAAGCTCAAGAGATACCTGCTTTCTCAGCTCTCTGTCAGTACAGGGTCACTGTATCTTATGACTTTTGCCAACCTGAGAGGTCAACTATGTTATTTTCTGCCAGTTAACAGTCAGGTGAGGGAAGATCCAAAATTAAGAACATTTAAGGCCCTTCTTTTTCCTAAATCTTAATCTTAGAATTTAAGACTCAAAGGATTGACTGCTTTTCATTTCTTTCTTATCTAGTTTGTGGCAAACCAGATATTTCAGATTAAACTGCAACTGTAGCTTGAGAAGAGCAACACTGAAGTTGCATCCAGAGGAAAGCAGTCTCAGTGCATGATATGCCAAGGTCTTCCATCTGGACCAGGAGATCCTTACCCACAAACCAGGGAGGCCAAGAATGGTCCTCACAGAGGCTCCTTACCTTTTTGGTGAGTGAATCATCGGAGTCTGATGGCATCCGAGTTGAAACGTGGAAAATCACTTCCACAGTCGAGGTAGCATAGTAAGGGGCAGTCTGCCCCGTGCTGCCATTGCGCTGAAGTCCACCCATGAACCCACAGTGGGTTGAGAGATCCACCTGACATGGGTAACAAAGAGGAAAGAACTAGGGTCAAGCATCAAATACCCTCATTCACCTAGCAGGAATACCCACTTTTTAAGCAATCTAATTACTTTCATTTTTATAGTTTCCTGATGACAAACAAATGTAATACTAAGTTAGACAAAATTAAAATATGAAGGAAACATTAACAATGAAAGTACTCTGAAACCCTGCCAACTTAAGAAAACCACCATCAAAAGTTTGGTGCATATTTCTTGGGGTACCTGGGTGGCTCAGTCAGTTAGGTGTCTGACTTTGGCTCAGGCCATGATCTCGCGGTTCGTGGATTCCAGTCCCACATCAGGCTCTGTCCTGACAGCCAGAGCCTGGAGCCTGCTTTGGATTCTGTGACTCCCTCTCTCTCTCTGCCCCTCCCCCGCTCGCACTCTGTCTGTCTCTCTCTCTCAAAAATAAATAAACATAAAGTTTGGTGCATATTTCTCTAGTGTTTTTCCATCCTATTCATACGTGTATAAGTATATATGTGTGTATACAGATATATACACATACACACATGTATTTATATAAATACACACACACACACACACACACACACACACACACACAGATAATCTGTTGATGGATGTATGGGATTTTCTGCTTTCTCAAACAGAGCTGGTATGGTCAAACCACAAGGACCATTCAAACAAGTGTTCCGGTGGGATGTTAAACTAAACTGTCTTTCAAAGGGGTTGTTCTGATTTATGTCACTACTGCAAGTCTAGGAGCTATACTTTTGCAAGCTGTGGTGTGAATGCTCACTTCTTAGTGCCTAGGATCTTTTTTTTTTTTAACTTTTCATAAACAAAATTTTTCCCCAAAGCACCTGTTGTAACATAATAAAAAAAAGCAACAGAAGAATCTCTTCTGTGCCAAACACGATCACTATATACACTAAATTAATGTTCATTTTTTTCCTAAAAACTCTAGTTAAGAATGTGTGGTTTAAAAGGTATATTAGTTAAATGATCAAATAAGAAGTCACCTTTTTAGTAAGAAGGACAATATACTAGAGTGTAATAACTCTTTTAGACTAAAATCAACTTTACATTTTATAAAGTACATGGTCTTTACCTTGATTAGGCTTCTCTTGTCCCCATCTCCATATTAGTTTCCTTGCTAACATTCAGCTCTCAGAGACAAGTCTTACTTAGGTACCCAGAGAGCTTCCCACAGTACAGATAACCAAGAAACCAAAATAAAAGTAAAGAAAAGTAAGAAAATTATTTCAGATATGCTGATTTCCATTATAACTACTCTGAGTTATTTTCGATTTTAGAAATATATTTTCCTAGAGACAGATGTGTGTGTGTATGTGTGCATGCATGTGTAGAAATGCATATGTCCCTCTGAGGATCATTTAGTAAAGAAATAGCAAATTCTTCCCATATCAGTCATCCTGGGATCTCCCTGAGGGAAACAGGTTGACTGCTGAAGCATCAAGGCTAATCTACTCTATTTTCATGCCAATTTTTTACTTCATCAGCTCTTTCTTTATGTTTTCACCCATCGAGTCACTGATTAATTCTCCAATCTCCATACTGTGGCCAAAGTCATTGCTTCTTTGCTCATATTTGTCTTCTCTTACTACAAACTGTCTATGACTGAGTGAGCCAATCTGACTATTTGATTCTGACAAAAAGTGAATGAAATAATATGAAGGGAAAAGTTAAAGGGAAACAAAAGTTCATGTATGAAGTACTGAAGAGCAACTAACAGAAGATGTCAAATTCAATACATTTGTCAATTCCAGAATGCTGCATGTGCAGGATTTGAATGCAAAACCTTGTACAATTGGTGTCAAGCTTGTACACATCCTTAAATAGTGCTGATCAATAAACACCTCCCAAATGAGATGAATTACCTCCCATCCAAGTCCGGCAACAAAGTCTTCATATGCTTGGCTTCCTCTTTCATTGGAGAGGATTGAACACTTGTCTTCTTGACCTTCAGCAATGTAAAACACTGCAATTTTGTGTGTTTCACGGCTATAAATTTTTAAATTTAAAGAAGTTAGAATTCTTAAATTTAAAATTTTATTTCTATACAACCAACAGCATGACTCCTACTATAAAGCTGTATTTAAGGAGATTTACTAGGGGTCAGTCACTGTTCTAAGGAGGTTTGACACATGATCTCATTGGCTCTTCACAATCGCTCTAAAGAGACAAGTGATTATCATCACTTCCCTTGTAGAGGTGATTGAAAGGAGGCACAGAAAATTAAACAGAAAGCACACAGAGCAAGCAGGAGACAGAGAATTGAAGCAGGGCTGTCTGACTTTTGAGATCACTCTTTCAGATATGTGATATACAAAGAAATATATGTGAAGGCATTTCACATAGATATCAATTGAGAATAGATCTGTGTCTGCCCATTTTTACTTTCCACACTTTGAGATAAGGACACTGGGTAGCTCTCTGATTGGAACTGTAAACTATAACAACACTTTATGAGAAACAGAAACTTCTTCCAAGCAGAACACTTTCTTTGTGAAGAAAGAAAGTGCACCCACCCTGTGCTCTGACTAATCTGAGGGAGAAGGTAGGGTGGACAGACGTCCAGGGAACCCTCTTAGGTCATATAAACCCTTCACCCACTTCCTCCACAACGGATTTTGGGGACTTTACTGTTAAATCAAGTAAATATGGCCTGCACTTTCAGGAAAGGAGTCCTGCTTTTTTTCCTTTTGTATATCTAGCATGGTCCTAGGCACATAGTAGCTTCTCAGTTAAGTCTTTGTTGACCAAGAGATCCAATGCTATAAATATATTAATAACCAATTTCTACAAAATGTATCCTGCAGTAAAGTGTCAAAATAACTACACTTTTACCCAGCAATTTAGTGATAGTTTAGAGATGAAGACACTGTGCTAATTCATTTAATCAATGAGAACCACTCATTCCATGGCCCCATCATCCCAAGACTTTAACTCTAGTCTCTATTTTCTAAAATTTTTAATTACCACCTACAGACCAGCTCCACCCTTATTATTTTTGCACTGCATTCTGAAAAATCTCATTAGAAAAACTATCAAGAGTTCAAACAATATGGAAATGTTTCTATTGTCTTAACTGTTCAACATTTCAACACTATAATCTGATTAGACATCTATACTGGTGGAATTTGGGCTCCATATTTTAATATAGTCACAAATATTTCCTTTTGCAGGAGTTATGTTTCTACTTAATAAGCAGAATGAAATGAAATTCAACTAAAAAGTCATAAAATAAGTCAAGGAGGAGAATACTTTCCTTCTATTGATCAAGGTAGCTTATTCATTCTCTCCATAGTTTACATAAAATAAGATACTTAAAAGAAGACCTAGAAAATACAGAAAGGAAAGAGGAGAATAAAAAATTCACTTATATTCTTGGCCTAAACGTTGATATTACAGCTGTTACCATTTTAGGATGCATTTTCACATATGAAAGTGAGAAGCCACTATATCCTGCTTTGCAAGTGGTTAAGTTTCACTTAAAATATTTTTGAACACTATTTTTCATCGTGTAAAATATGTGTAACATAAAAGCCACAATTTAAACAAGTGTTGAGCGGGAATACTTTTATACCATGTACTTGTATGACAAAGTTATTAATGGTTGTATAACATTCCAGTATATGAATACACCGTACCCTAAATCCTTGTCATTGGACATTTAAGTTGCTACCATTTTTAAAGACGTTGTCACATTATCTCTAATATGTCCTTAGAATACATTCATAGAAATGGAATTTCAGTCATTGCCCATGTTTAAGGCTTTTGATAAAGGCTGTCTGGCTGCCCTTGGAGAAGATGGACATCCTGAATGCCCTGACTGGCATGGTATGAGCACACAGTTAGGGGACACCTCTCTTAACAGGTACAGTTGCTGTGAGAAGAGGGACATATTTGGCGATAGATCCTAGGGGGCTGATGCTCTGATGTAGAGACCTTGAGCTCTCAGACTGTCAGAAAACTTGTCCTCATGCAGCATGGAAGCCCTGAAACTGCCACAGCATATATTCCCTGAGTGACAGGCAGGACACACCAGCAGTTTAGAATCTGACTGGCTTATATTCTATGAGCTATAATAATTTAGGGGCTCGGATCTCAGATGATAACAGAGATCATAACCTATGACCTAAAAGACTGCCTCTTTCAGCAAAAGAAGAAAAGGTACAGTTACTCAATTTCTTTCTGCAGCTCTTTCTATATATTGAAATGTCCTCAGCATTTGATGGTTCTCTATTCTATACACATTTATACATATACAAAGACCATCTCAGGTTTATCCGAAACATTTCTGTTGATGCTTCTCAAAGTCCAAGATTTTTTTTATTGTAGCTGTTCACAGGTCCTTGAGTCCTCATTAACTCAATGTGGGAGCACAAGAGCTAAGCCCCAGTGACTGCCTGACTGATGTAGGTGTGAGGAAAGGTGACCTTTAGCTGTAAACATTCATCAAATTTCACATCCTCCAAAATGTTAGCACCACAGAGAGCCTGCTAGGATCAGACGCTGTGTCTGGTCTTATTAGAGCTAAGCTTTTGAAATGATAATTAGCAACAGCACTTCATATCCATAAGCTGCACCACCAATGCATGAAGGAGCAGGTAATTCAGGAACACACATACATAAAATCAACAATTTCCTCTTCCTCATTAGAATGCATTTTTCTTTCTTAATAGGAATAGACTAGAATGGCTCAGTTTCCTTGTGCTGTCACATTAAGAAGCCTAACAAAGAAAAAAGATGATTTTAACTTTCACCTTACCACGGGTGACAAGAGGCATTAATATTTAAAAGAGGAGCCCACTGTAATTTGCATGTGCGTTCATCATACTTTTTACATCTTTGCTATCTTCACAGTATAGAGATGAGAGTTGCAAGACAGACTCCACACTTTTCCTAAGAACCTGCTAAGCAGGAACTATGCCTTGAAAGAAGGGAATAAATTGGTCTCAGAAATAGAGCCACATGAACTAAAAGTTGAGGGACAAGGTATGTTTTTACCTGCTAACTAACCAATACATGGGACGGTTTAGATTTCCCATAGATAAAGAGTCCTCAACTTATTTCTGTTTTTTTTTTCCAAAAAGAACCTCGAAAACATCCTTTAAAATAAAGTAAGTTGATACCTTTTTTAGATGTCAAGAAGACACTGAATCCAGGAGTTGGGATTTTACGGGAAGGTTAATCAAGGGACAGAGGATTTGCCAATCAGCAGCTCCAAAGCCATATTTTACTGCAACAGCACCCCAGGGAGCTCATTCAATTGTACCTCATGCAACTAAAGTGCATTAACACTCAACAAATTGGCCACAATTACAAGATACCAATGTATTCACTTAATACCAAGAAGCATGGAATAATTCAGCATATGCTTGAAAAGCTGAGTTTGGAACCCAAGTGACTGCTTGTTTAATACTAGAGGACAAGAGGGAGAGAGAAATGAACCCTGGAGTCCTTCACAAGAAGTCCCTCACAGAGTTTCCACAGAGAATTTGGTCTCTATTCCTCCAGAGAAAAAGAAGCATAACAACAATTGAGAAACTGATTATGATGAACGGCAATGTGAGGAATAATGGCTTCACGTTTTTCATCTGTAATGAGATATCTAATGATATTCCTATGGGGAATAAAAAGAGGAACAAAAAGCTATTTCTTAAAAAATGAGTTGTTTTTTTCAAAATTAAGATTAAGGAAACAGTTTATTCAGGACTTTTAAGCACCTGTTATGTACCAAGCACTACACTTACTGTTGTCTGAGATGTTTTTGGAAGTACACATTTTCCCAAATCAAAAACTAGTCATGAGTTCATCTTTAGAACTGCTTCTAAGACTGTACAGAAAAAAGGGACAGATCTGAGATTTGACCAGCTTTGAAAATAAGGCTCACTACCAGGAAGTTACTACTTAAAACACACTGGTTTTAAGCCTGTCAATGTTGTGGAGCCGAAACTACAAAATGCCAGTGCATAGACACACAGCATGGGTTCAAATAACATGGTACATGTGGGCACAGGGCACAGGTAGGCTGTTTTTGACTTAGATAAGCATCGGTTCCTCACCGGAAAAAGAGGTGGCTGCAGAGACCAAATGAGAACGAATGTCCACTGGCTGCCATATAAAAAAGTCCTCAACCAAAGACACAGATTAGTTGGGGGCAATGATCTCTTCTTAACATAGCAAGCATGTAAGGTTATTCCTCGAGAGTAAAAAGTACGGCAGATGCAGATGTCACCAGATTCTAGTTACAGAATGACCTTTGGGTGTCTTTGTAGGTGTATTCATTCTTGCAGCTGTGTCACCCAAGCACAGACAAAGATAGATAGGAATGAAGTGGTCTGATACACTTTCACATACCACTGACGGGAGTCCAGATTTTTTAGCTCTCTCAATAGTTTTGAATTTTTCTTCAACAGATGGAAATTCTTTCTATAAAAAGAGAGATGGAAGGAAAGTCATGTAATCACAGACCAATTATGCCCTTTCTAATCAATCAATTAACATACCCACTTTTTCATCCATCCATCCATCCATCCATCCATCCATCCATCCATCCATCCATGTATCCATAACCTTCCTCATTCACAAAAGATCTGTGGGGATCAAAGCCCACAGAATGAACTCCATTCTCCCTAAGACATTCAAAGACACCAAAATTCCATGACATCCCATCACCATCTGTTGACACTGGATGGTGCTGTGGTGGATGAGTGTGTCACTTATGTCCATGTGTTTGTGTCTGTTTTCACTCTCAGCTCTGCTGTGAATACCTCTTCCCTACTTCTGTCCTTAGAAACCCCACTCGATTGTCAAGGTCCATCTCAAACCAACCGCCTTCCACAGTCTTCCCCACCATCCCACAACTTCTATTGGATTAACTGTTCCTCTTGGCCTCCTGTGTCATGCTATCTTTCATCAGAATTGTGCTAAATCTACCTCCCTCACTAGATCTAAGGTGAGATGGTGGCTTACTCATCTTTGTGGTCTATTTGCATCTTTTGTGATGACAGAAGCAATGATAGATCAGTAATTAAAACACACAGACACACACACAGACACACACACACACACGCATGCATGAATACACACACACAGAAAATGTCTGATACCCTTTAAAATGTACAAGAGCTGACTGAAATTCAATCTCTGCATCAGTACAGCACAATTAGTTCCACTTCTAGCTTTAACTTAGTGGTGGAAAATAAGCTGTAAAGGCTGAAAGACAAATCTCCATTTCTATTCTCTGCTTCCCAAGCCTCAAATTGAGAACAAGAACAATCACACAAAGATAATGATAAGATAGGTGAAGGTCTAGAAAGAATTGTTACCTTCTGTCCCAAGAATTCATCCCCAAGTCATCAAGCAACAATCTGCAGAAATAAAAGGGTCCTCGCGGCTCCACTGGTGAGGGCTGCTCCTGGCTGGTGACTTTCATGGCCGAGTCAGAGTTACACCTCTGGATGTAGTCGTCTTCTTGGGCATTCTGGTGCAAAATGACCTCAATGATTTCTTTCTCTTGGTCACGGGTCATTCCCCGTGGGGGTGGGGAAGGCTCATTTAGATTTAGCTGTGATGGTAGAAGGCATTCGGGACTCGTATGGCCAATGTTTTCAAGTAATTTGTCAAGGACATCTTCTCCCTCCTCAGTTTGAGAAAAATCTTTCTGAGCTCCCAAAGCTTGAGGATGCCAGCTGGAAATCAGAAATGCAGGATTTCTGCCGCTGGGTGCTAAGCAGCCTTCCAAAGGTCCATATAAAACCTTTCCATCCCAAGAGTACTTCCCTGAGATATCCCGTACAATTACTCTGACATCAGATAGGGCGCTCCCCGGTGAGCCACCTCCTGGCCCTTCTGCCGGTGTCTGAAGGTAGGAGATGAGGGTGCTGTCATTCAGCACAAAAAGCTGCAGGTTTGGGCTCCGGAACACCTCAGAGGACAGCTCAGGAGCCTCAGCGTGTGCATTGTCATGGTTTTCACTGACCAGGCTGTGCAGCACTGCAGGACCCCCACGGAGTGGGAAGTGTCCCAGGTGGTTCACCAGGTGGGCCATCACCATGCGGGCAGTCAGAGGGATCAGCTCCAAACTCCTCCTCTTCCGCTCTGTGAGCCAGGCAAAGCAATACACCAGACATTGGGAGGAAGGAAGGTTAAAATCTGTACTCAGGATACTGGATTTGTTTTAGTCTGGGATTTTTTTTCATCTATTTTCTTTTTTGACCCTAATTCTCTTTTAATTAAAAGTTCAATTTAAATAGATTGCTAAAAGAACCAACTTCCACGAAGATCCCATTCTAAAAGGGACACTTAAAAATCTGTAGATGCAGCAGGAAACAAAAGAAAAAGTTCCTTGTCCTGAAAGATCCTATGGTTCAGGTTCTGGGAGGTGGAAACCCTCGGCTGGAGAGGATCCAGTGGGACAGGAAGTTGCCTGGGGGTCCAGGCCCCAGAGGTTAACCTCATTCTTCTCACCAGGGTAAGGGCAGATGCTGATAAGGAAATGAATCAAGCCTGTGAGTCTTAGATGGAGTTGGAGCAATTTGCTTTAAGATCCTTATGACAATTTATGTTTTGTTATTTGGGCATTTGAAATCTTTAACAGAATCAGAAATCCTTGGAAGGTTTTAAGTAAATTTGCAGTTGATGATAAATGCCCAGGAGCAACTGACTTACAAAATTTGCAAGGCTCTAGATGTATTGAAAGACTGACACTAGCATGTAAAAGTGGGCCCTGTGACATGTTGGAGGAGGAAGGTAGAAGCAGAGAAACCCTATCTATGGGCATGGAGTGAAGCAAGTATTTAAACTTCAGCGTGGTCAGGGAAATGTACTCTGCTACATTTAGAAAACAACTGTGTATTAATGCAAGAACTGTGTATTAATGCAAAATGAAATCTTTCACCAAACTTCACACCCGAAAAACAAACAATCCAGTAAAGAAATGGGCAGAAGATATGAACGGACATTTCTCCAAAGAGGACATCCAGATGGCCAACAGACACATGAAACGATGCTCAGCATCCCTTCTCATCAGGGAAATACAAATCAAAACCACACTGAGATACCACCTCATGCCAGTCAGAGTGGCTAAAATGAGCAAATCAGAGGACTCTAGATGCTGGCGAGGATGTGAAGAAATGGGCACCCTCTTACACTGTTGCTGGGAATGTAAACTGGGGCAGCCCCTCTGGAAAACAGTGTGGAGGTTCCTCAAAAAATTAACAGTAGAACTCCCCTATGACCCAGCAATAGCACTGCTAGGAATTTACCCAAGGGATACAGGAGTGCTGATGCATAGGAGCAAATGTACCCCAATGTTCATAGCAGCACTCTCAACAATAGCCAAAACATGGAAAGAGCCTGTGTCCATCAACTGACAAATGGATCAAGAAGATGTGGTTTATCTATACGATGGAATACTACATGGCAATGAGAAAAAATGAAATCTGGCCATGTGTAGCAATATGGATGGACCTTGAGGGTGTTATGCTGAGCGAAATAAGTCAGGCAGAGAAGGGCAAATACCATATGTTTGCACATATAGGAGGATTAGGAGGAACTCTACGGAGGACCGAGGGGGAGAAGAAGGGGGGAAATAGTGGGGAGAGGGAGAGAGGCAAACCATGAAAGAGTCTTGAATACTGAGAACAAACTAAGGACTGATGGGTGTGGGGGCGGAGGGGGGAGATGGGCATGGAGGAGGGCGCTTGTGGGGATGAGCACTGGGTGTTATATGGAAACCAACATGACAATAAACTATTTGTAAACAAACAAACAAAAAGAATAAATAAGTTCTTTGAAAAAAAAAAAGAACTTCTTGGAGGCTGATGCAAGAAAAAAAAAATAACAATAGAACTCCCCTATGACCCAGCAATAGCACTGCTAGGAATTTACCCAAGGGATACAGGAGTGCTGATGCATAGGGCACATGTACCCCAACATTCATAGCAGCACTCTCCACAATAGCCAAAACATGGAAAGAGCCTAAGTGTCCATCAACCGACAAATGGATCAAGATGTGGTTTATCTATACAATGGAATACTACATGGCAATGAGAAAGAATGAAACCTGGCCATGTGTAGCAACATGGATGGACCTTGAGGGTGTTATGCTGAGCGAAATAAGTCGGGCAGAGAAGGACAGATACCATATGTTTGCACATATAGGAGGATTAGGAAGAGCTTAACGGAGGACCAAGGGGGAGAAGAAGGGGGAAAAATAGTGGGGGAGAGGGAGGGAGGCAAACCATGAGAGACTCTTGAATGCTGAGAACAAACCGAGGACTGATAGGGGTGGTGGGGAGGGGAAGGGAGGTGATGTGCATGGAGGAGGGCACTTGTGGGGATGAGCACTGAGTGTTATATGGAAACCAACTTGACAACAAACTATTAAAAAATGATCACTAGATATTTAAATAAAGTAAGATTTATACTTTGGGCTTAAAGGTTTAGGAAATACTTGGTTTCTAAATTCACAACATGAAAAATCAAATATTACTTAAACAAAAATAACTATGAATAAACTTTCTCATGCTAAATGCCTCCTCAGACAGTAAAAATTCAATGGACTTATCTATAAAACATCAAGTGAATAATGTATAAATCCCAGAAATAAACAAAATCCTAGGATATAAGAAATTCTGTGTGATGACTCAGGAATACAAGATTGTCCTGACTTTTCTTGAATTTATTCTTAATTTTTGCTATTCAATGAACAATACATCATCTGTCTTCAATAATGCAAAATAAAACTTCACCTTAAAAATTCAGTGTTCATAAGCAAAGGTCACCTACATCCATCTCTGACGCTGAACTCTCCTCCTTAATGTTTGTAGAAGGGCGTATGATTTACATAGAGCTGAGAAATTTAAACTCCTCAACTAATTCCCTTGAAATCACAGTTATGAATGCCTTTGCTTTTGTGTCCATATTAACTTTTTGAAAAGTTACAGATTCTTTTTATTCATGCTTATCATTCCATATGAATATAGGCTCCATCAGAAATGTTAATGCCCCAAACAACAAAGGTATGGGAAGCTGGGGGCTCAGAAGTCCATGGTGTAAGACACTGCATGGTGATGGATAACAGGATGGAGCAGGCTATGGAACTAATGACAAAGGTCCAATTTGGTAGAGCCCAAAGTACACAATAACAACTGGAAAAGCAACTTTCCTCTGCCTTTACTTATAAAGGTTGTGCTTTCAGTGTGAGATAGATACAAATTTGAATTTTAACAAATATATTTGAACTCAACAATGGGGAATTAACTATAGTCATACCAATCAAGCCATAAGCCATGACACACCCAGTAAAAAACCCAAATATCTTTGGTACTGAAGAGTAAGGAAAGGGAACATCTGTGAGGTAAAAACTGTTCTTCCTTGTCTGACATCAACTAAATTAACTGCCTGTGGGTTCCCTGAAAAATAAAGAGAAAGTCTAGACTCCATTTGTGAAAAACCAATCTGTAACTTCCACAAACTATGAAAAAAATATAATTCGGGGGACTTGGGTGGCTCAGTTGGTTAAGTGTCTGACTCTTGATCTCAGCTCAGGTCACGATTTCATGGTTTGTGAGTTTGAGTCCCAAGTTGGACTCTGTGCTGGCAGCATGGAATCTTCTTGGGATTCTCTCTCTCCCTTTTTCTCTGCCCCTCCCCTCCCCCACTTGCGCTCTTACTCAAAAATAAGTAAATAAACATTAAAAATATATATAATTTCCAAATATTTATCTTATTTTGCTAAATTTAGAAATGAAATAGAAAAGCAGTAATTTTGTCTTTTAACTTTCATTTTTTAAAGTTCTTCCCTTTTCTTCATTTTAAAGCAATTAGGTATTAATAATGAGAAATTTGAGGACCTGTTGAGTACTGTCAGTGTCTTTTCCTTGATCTGGGCCAGCAGCCACTTCAACTGTGGGTAAGCAGATGTGTCTCTTGTCTGTGACTACTTGAAAGTAGTATTTATGTCAAATAGTAGATAACCATGGGTGAAAGAGTCATTTGAAAATAATAAAAATATAATATTGTGTCTCAGAAACATGTGAGAAGAAATAATTTGGTTATGAGTAATGAATTATGATGCTGAATGAGAAAAAACTCCCAAATATCAGCACACTTCTTTTTAACCTAAAATGCATACAGCTGTCTTCTTTAATTGTCCTCCCGCTTCTGAGAGGGTGTACCTATTCAGCAAGGGTGTCTGTGATGCCAAAAGGTTTTTAGCTGCTTTGCTTTCTTTTTATTTACTGTTTTTATTTGTGTTTTTCTTTTATAGTTTATTGTCAAGTTGGTTTCCATACAACACCCAGTGCTCATCCCCACAAGTGCCCTCCTCCATGCCCATCACTCTCCTTCCTTCCCCCCCATCAGCTTTCAGTTTGTTCTCTGTATTCAAGGGTCTCTCATGGTTTGCCTCCCTCCCTCTCCCCAACTATTTTTCCCCTTCTCCTCCCCCATGGTCCTCTGTTAAGTTTCTCCTAAGCCACCTGTAAGTGAAAACATATGGTATCTGTAACGGCTTTGCTTTTTTAATGTAATTAAACTGTTGGTGAATTTTCAAACTCCTTTGCCACTGAAGTTCAAGTAATTATTTTTAGCGCCATAGAACTATGTTAGGACAAGACAGCACAAGGTCCTGAGGTTAAATAAATGTTCAAGTCAAAGTGATGTACATTGAAAAAAGGTGGTATAGAAAATTTTAAAGTGCATTTTTAGGTTTCTTGTCTTTCACTAACCTATCAATCTCTCACTATTTTCAAGAGACAGATCAAAATATGTGCTGAAGGGGCGCCTGGGTGGCTTAGTCGGTTGAGCGTCTGACTTTCGCTTAGGTCATGATCTCGCAGTTCGTGGGTTCGAGCCCCGCGTCAGGCTCTGTGCTGACTGCCAGCTCAGAGCCTGAAGCCTGTTTCAGTCTGTGACTCCCTCTCTCTCTGACCCTCCCTGCTCATGCTGTCTCTATCTCTCTCTCCTAGAAATAAATAAAACATTTAAAAAAAAATATGTGCTGAACTTATTTCAGGGATAGCCATGTGGGATGAATCTAAATTAATGGCTTTAGGAAAAAGTAAGTTATTTTTCTTCTAAGACATAGGCTGCATTGTAGGAATCAATAAAAAAAAAACAGATCATGGGTCATTTTGATTATTGTTTTAAGACATGGTTTGAATTTCTAACCTTGGGGGAAAAATCAAGAAATATTGCAGTTTAAAAAAACTGTGGAAGTCCAGAAACAAACAACTAAATGATTATGCAAATGGAGGTTAACTGAGAGGATAGCGTGAACATGTGCCATGCACTGTCAACCAGCACAACCAAATGTAGGTCTTCGGTCTATTCTGTGGAAAAATCTCAGTAAATATTGTGAAATTTCAGAAACTTGTTCATTAAATCTTCAATTTAAACTTCACCTCCATCACTTCTTACTTCTGTACTCTTGGGAAAATCCCTTCCCCTCAGTGTGCTCATCTATAAAATCAGGACTGACTGATTCTACAGCCCTTGCCCCTGGTGGCCCCACTTCTGTCCTACTCATGGTCACCTTGCCTGTGCCCTTCCTCTTGGCCTGACTTCAGACTCCGCAGTCTTGCAAGCGTAACTGTGGACTCCATGCTCTCACCTCTCACCTGGCTACTGTCCACCAAAAGCCCCAACAAGAATGTCGGGGATTCTGAATAGTCATCCCCAAATCACCTGCTCTGGCTATCTGCCTACAGACTAACTGCCATCCCCAAAGTACTCAGCAAAACACACCACCCAATGTTTAGTTGGGAAATAAAACAGCTCCTGTTCTGGCCCCACCCTCCCTGATGTTTCTGAAGCACTGAACATCTGACCTTCCTTGGCTCTTTATTTATCTCCCTTTTTCCCCTCAACTTCTCAGAACTCTTTCATGGTTCTTTCTCTATTTCCATGACTGCTTTCCTGGTGACATTCCCTCATTTCTTTTTCTTTAAGGATGTTTTTACTCCCAAGTTCATTTTTGGGCCTAGCTTATAACTTGCAAAGTCCATACCATTTTTATGGATGATCCAACATCCCACATCCGCATTTTTTTTTTTTAACTTTTAACTGTGAGACAATGAAAGATTCACATGCATTTGTAAGAAATAATACAGAGAAATCCGAAATATCCTTCATCCCCCTGGTTATATCTTACATAGCATAGCTATAGTATAGTATCACAATTAGAAAATTTTGACACTGATACACTTCATCAATATTCAGAGTTTACTTGGTTTACAAGCTCTTGTGTGTGTGTGTTTTTGGTTCTATGCAATTATTTCACATGTACAGATGATACACCCACATTTTAACTCACATTTCAAGGCCTAGAGATAGGCTCTTGTCATTTCAGAAAGAAGCATGGTTGAGGAGGACACACAGCAGTCCCTAATCCTGACAATACCCACATATCCTAAAACAGACCCTCTGGGGCACCTGGCTGGCTCGGCTGGCAGAGCATATCAGGATTGTGAGTCCAAGCCTCATGTTGGGTGTAGAAATTACTTAAAAATAAAATCTAAAATAAAATAAAATAAAATAAAATAAAATAAAATAGACCCCCTGCCGTGAGCGGAGCCTCAAACTGTGGCATGTAAATCCCCACCTCTCTCTTTTTCGATGCTCTCCTACTCTATAACACTCGATCAGATCCTTTTAAAATCTGCTCATCCTTCTAGGTTTCACTTAAGTCCTTCCCCATGGGAAGCCCCCACAGCGCTACTGATCCACAAATGAGTCCTTCTGCATTTATCCTGTCTCTCTAGTTAAATGTAAAGTTCCTCGGGGATAGAAAATGAGCCATTTTTGTGGGTGTCATAGGCCTGACACAGATAGGTCCTCAATAGAAAATTCAACTAAGATGGGAAAAGAGAGAAGAAACAGGAAAAAAAAAAAAAAAAAAGAAACAAGGAAAGCAGAATTTGCTATCATATAGGGGTGTAGAAACCAGAAATTTAATAACTAGATTTTAAAAAACAATGTAGTAGGCAGGCATAGGCTAAAGATTATCATCTTTCCTCTTCCTGCCCATGAGAATTAATATTCTGAAGAATCTCACCCTCTTCCACTGTAAGCAGGTTGCCCAAATCTGCTGATGAATGATATTGGACTGGCTCCGAATTCTTCACATTTGCCAGTGGCAGGAAGGGGTCGTAATCCGGGGAGGACAGGTCGGCCAGCGTCAGTGTATAGTGACTCTGTTGAGTGTATGTGCTTGAGCCACACACACAGCAGTGCAGAACCTGTGAACAAAACAGAAGCAAATGTGTGCCATGGATGCCACGAACTTCCTGTCCCTTGAGAAGCTGCCAAAAGTACTTTTAGGAGGCAGGATTCTTGCGTGGTAATATTTGAAAATACAGAATCCCTTCCATTCTAAATTATCATCCTCCCTTGCCAGCACATGAAAACAAACTGGAATGTGTACATATTAGCATTGTGTATGTATTCATACACAATAATCATTAAATTACATGTATATTTGTGGAATGCTAATTTAAATGATTAAATTATAAACCTTGTGTATTTATCGAATGGGTGAAAAGATTAAACTTTTGCGCATTATGATACTGCTGAATGTGTAGCTTGAGGTGTCCTGCACTTTTCCTACAAGGCTACTGAAGTTACATGTTTCTGCCCTAATATATTTGCTACTGGTGATGAAGACAGATAATATCACTTGTAGAGACCTATTTTTGTATAATGGTAGAAGTTTTGAATTTTATGGGGTATTTTGTCAAGTACTGAAATAAAAATGACTTCACCATTTTAAAAAAAAATAAAATAAAATAAATTATCATCCTGCAGGTTATTTTGCTCCTTTTAGATCAATACCAATAAATATATTTTCAACACAAAAGGAAAGCAAAAGTTAGAAAGTGCTTATTTTTCCATTCTGGGTGATCCCACACACCCAAATCCTGCTGCGGTCCACCAGGATGTTCACAGATCCTCTTTTTCCAGTCCCAAACTCTACTACCCAAATGTCCAAAGAGATACTAAACCGTGGTGTACTCTCACTGTGTAATACTAAATAGCAATGAGTGAAAAATTCACAACTATTCACAACAGTATGAATGAACCCCTTGGAAACAATGTTAAGTGAAGGGTGTCAGACACAGAAGTACATAATTGCATAATTCCAGCTATACAAAGTTCAAAAAAATCTACACTGTTACACAGGCTAGCAGCTGCTCCAGGTATGCATATGGGACAGTAACTAGCAGAGAGGCATCAGAGGTGCTTCTGTAATACTGAGAATATTCGGTTTCTGCAGCTGGGATCTGGTTTCACAGGTGTGCTCACTGTGTGAAAACTCATCAATCTCTCACTTATGACTGATGTCATTTTCTGGATGCATATTATACTTCAATAAAAAGTTCCCTTTACAGATAAAATAACATTGTTCAACAAATTTGTAACTCATTCATGTTAACTAGGAGTGGACCTTTTTTATTGGTAAAACAATTTTAAGAGAAATCTTTCAAGAAAAGAAATGTTAAAAAAGAGACAAATTTAAAAGACTGTGCCTACTTTAGGTCGTCAAGCCAAGCTTTACATAGATTTATAAGCCACAAAGATGACAGACGTATCTAATGAGTTAAAATCTTTGAATGAATTAAAAATAACATAGCTATTAAAATCTTTGACCACTAAAGAAATCATTTAAAAATACACAATACTTTTTAGTAGAATTTCAGCTATGTTATGTGTCTTTTTTTATATTTAATACATTTTAAAATAAGGCAACATAGTAATCAGTTAATGACTTGGAATATTATTTTTTTAAAGGTTACTAGTAAAGTTTTCTCACTAAAAAAATAAACAACAGCGGTGCCTGGGTGGCTCAAGTGTCCAACTCTCTATTTCGGCTCCAGTCATGGCCTCACAGCTCTTGAATTTGAGTCCCACATTGGGCTCTGTGTGGACAGTGTACAGCCTGTTTGGGATTCTCTCTCTCTTCCACTCTTTCTGCCCCTCCCTCCCTCTCTCTTCTCTCTCGCAAAATAAATAGATAAACTTAAAAAAAATACAACAGAATTGTCCCTTACTAGTAATTATTCAATGGATACACAAATGCCAAATTCATAAGTAAAGCTTTCACAGGAGGGACTGTAAAGCCAATACAGAAGGATAATATAAAAGGTCCAGAGAAAACACCATACCTAGTCTATAAAAATGATGAAGCTAAATACTGTGATAATTAGTGTATTTCTTAAGATCTTTTAAAGCAAAGGGATTACTGAGACCTTTATACTTTTTGATAAACAATTGACAATTTTGTCAAACTAAGACTGTAAATATCCCTGCAATATAAACATTTCTTTTAAAAATTAACAAGAGGTAGACCATGTTACATGAAAATTGGGGAGGATTCTGATCAAACTGCAGTTGTTTAAAGATGGCAGTCATGTGAAAATGCATGTTTCTTTCACTTGGTAACCACTGCTTCTCTACAATTACTTCTGTCCTGTTTTCACTCCTTAAATCATTCATTCTTTAAAAAAAAAAAAGTTTAACTCCCATATATCCTTTCTAAAGGGCACAGATAAATAAATAAATGAACAGATATACTTTGGCAATTCTCTGATGCTTAAGTCTATACTCTGTGTCCCGGAGGCACAAATGGAGACTCACCCTATAGATATAATCGAGCAAAGGGGCTCTGGATGAGTGCTGCTCCTCCAGGGCTACTGTGGACACTGGGTGGAGAAGGGTGTTCACCGGCAACGCCATGCACCAGTCCAGGAGGCAGAGTAGCAAGGATACAATAAACTGGAAGAGGAAACAGTTCCAATACTGTACACGGCAGTCTTTTAAACTTCACTACATGTCATAGCAAAAAACAACTGTCTCTGCACAACAGTAAATATTCAGTGGACACACAAATGCAGAAGAAATCAGTGGATAAATAAAGTTTTCACAAGGGAGACAGGACCACTACAGAAGAATATTAAAAAGGATATCCCTGTGTGTAACATTATTTTTCACTTTATCTTACAGTAAAAAAACCAGACAGGCTGGGGAACACTTAGCTGATGCGCCACCTACCTTCTTATCTGTTTCCACTGAGGAGTACTCTGCACTTGGTAAAAGAAAAGCAATTGTGGCCACAAGGATCTGCATAAAAGACAAATCCCTAATCAAACAGACAATAGTAATAGTTTGGAAAACCAAATCATAAGAGTCCCAAGATGGTCTTGCACTAAACCCAGCTTGGTGCCAGTTCGCTGGAGGAAGGTGATAAGAAGCCAAGAGCCAGTTTAGAGCTCCATGTGATCCTGAAAACTGGAAGAAAGTCATAGAGCCATGCCTCTTCTCCATTCCACTCTCCTGGAGGTGAAACTGGGGGCCCAGAGGAAGGGATATTTCTCTCTGTGGTCACACAATTCCCATCATCAGTCTCCACATGTAACACAATGAAAGTAAAAAATCTTTTCAAAAATAACTATGAAAAACACTCCCATTTGATTTTCTTATAAACCACCCCAGGTCTCCACCTGTTGTCCTGGTGTAAAAGCACCCCTTTCCTTCTCAAAGGTATTTCCCTTTCAATGGTAAACTACAACTGACCACTGAGTTCAGGGTGAGAGGTGCTAACCCCCTGACCCTGCACAGGAAAAAAACCATGTCTAACTTTTGACTCCTCTCCCCATCTACTTTAACTACTAATAGCCTACTACTGGCTAGAAGCCTCAACAATAAATAGTTGACTAACACATATTTTGTATGTTGTATGTATTCTATGTTGTATTCTTACAATACAGTAAGCCAGAGAGAAAAAAATATTAAGAAAATCGTAAGGATAAGAAAATACATTTACAGTCCTGTACTGTATTTATCAGAAAAAATCCACATATAAATAGATCCATGCAGTTCAAAACTGTGTTGTTCAAGGGTCAACTGAATAAAGTTTCCCTAAAACTCAACTTTACAACTTGGAGCATCTTCTATCCCTATGTCCAAAGCTCTGTTCTGCTCTAGGTCACCCAAAGCTCTTGGGGAGAACAGAGTGATCTCACTGGTGAAATCTGTCTAGGTCTGAGAGGAAACAAATCAGTATTACTTCTTCTCTCCCCCTGTAAGACCACATAGAGACAAATCACATTTCCTTGAAGAGTTGCCACTGGGCGTGTAAAGAACAGGGCATGTTTAAAAAAGTGCAGCTTTAGAGGCACCTGGGTGGCTCAGTCAGTTGAGCATCTGACTCATGGTTTGGGCTGGGCAGACAGCCTGGAGACTGCTTGGGATTCTCTCTCTCTCCTTCTCTCTCTGCCCCTCCCCTGCTCGCTCTCTCTTTCTCTCTAATAAACAAACTTTAAAATAAAATAAGAAAGGTAGCTTTAAAAACTAGCAGGAATGGATGGGCCTTATATTCAGTCACTTACAGAGGCAAGGATACCTGCTCCTTTACAACCAAGCACCCTCAAATGCAAGCAGCCTCCAGGACATCACTGGAATGATTCTTCCTGTTCTTTCGATCCTTCTCTTGCACCGATTACCAACACTCCCCTGCACCCCCAAGAGGGTATTACAGCAGTAATCTCATTACAGCTGGGTAATCATGCTATGGCAGAGAGCGTGGTCTGGGGCTTCCGTCTGGGAGAGACTCCTGTTTCACACAGCAGTCCCCCCGCCCCCCGCCCCCGCCCCTGCACAGAGGGCATCATAACCAGCTGCCTACCCCTTGTTGGCACCATCCAAATTACTCTCGATGAATGAAGCCCAATCTACAAAAGGTCTCTTTGTTGTGGTCGTGTCTGCCTTTCAAACTCCCCAAGTGTAAGACTCTGCCCTGGAACACTGGTGGCTTCTTTACGTAGTGCCTGAAATCACAGCTGAGAAGAGCCAGTGCAATTTAATCTGAAAATGAATGACTCGTATGGCAATTTAATAGTCAGTACTCTAACAATTATTTGAGTATCTGTAATTAATTAAACACCAAATATAATAACAGGGAAACGCTTATGTGTTAGCATTGCAGGACAAAGACTTACTTCTGCAATTTTCTGGGGCAGAGAGCTTTCAAACATCTGAAGCTTTTCCCAGTAGGAAACCAGCAACTGAAGAATATCACAGGCCACCTGAGCCACGACTTTGTTAGGAAACTGTAAAAGGAAACAGAACCCCAAACTAAACGACTGAACTTAACACATACATATGTCCTAAGAACAAAACAAGTATTTCTTTCCAGCAATGTTTAGGATACATTTTCTTGTTTTGCACTGAATTTTTGAAAAATGTGTCCTGGTCCCACATTGTATATGATCACCATCCTATAATTGCCTCTTGTCCAGATGTATTAATTTCCTTAACATTCTGCAGAAACAAGGAGCTGCTGTTCAGTCATTTGAAAGTAAAACCATAATTTCAAGGGCCTCATTCAGTAGCATAAATTATAGTTTTGACAATTGGAGGAAATTAAAAACTAGTACATTACTGAGTATTCCCTGTGTGTTGGCCCTTTTATAAGAATTTTCCTCATTTTTGCATTGATACATCTTTAACAGCTCTGTAAGGTAGATGTGATCTTCATTTTATAGAAACGGGGACTGCTCAAATGATTTCCTATCTTATTAAAATTAAACTTCACCCATGTGTGTAATGTACTAAGAAATGTGAAAATTTAGGGACTGTGAGAATACAATCATATGCTGTGGTGTCTTTATTCAATTCCTTTGAGTATGTTTTAGGAGTCTGGTGTGTGTCCAAGATCCTCAGATGCTCCCATTTCCCGTTAGATGGCACGTTGAAGGGGAGAGGCGGTGCTCACAAGGACCACTGGTTGGGGTGGATGAAACAGATGGAGGACACCCCGTGCCTCTCTCCCTGCCCCGAACCACGGGCTCCCCTGCTCTCCCTACCTTATTACCTAAAGCTGAAAGGTTTGTCGCTGATTTTGGGTCTCTCTGGATTCGTAGCTGGATATGTAGCTTAGTTATTTCCACACCAAGTCACATGAAGCAGATACCAATTGACCTCAGCACCACACAGACACAGAAAAGTCAACACTGAGCAGCTCAGTACAAAGGTACAGGACAAGGAAGAAGGTAAGGCAAAGGGGATTACTTTGAACTCTACAGAATAAACACTTCCCCAATGTTCCTTCCTGATAGGTGCAAAGTGCACCCAGGGCAAGAGCATCTGCACTCAAGGGGCTCTCAGAGCCTGGCCTCGAGGCCTCAGATGACCTGATGTTCATGGGCCTCTTTCAGTCCCTCAAACACTCTGGCTTGCTTCTGCCTCAGGGCCTTAGCCCTTACTCCCTGCTTTGCCTGGGACGCTCATTCCCCCGGTCTGCACATCGCTGGCACTGCCACATCTTTCAGATCATGGCACTAAAGGTCTCCTCCTCTTGCCACACATCACAAGGAGTGGCAGCCTACCCGCTCCAGCTCTTCAGCTCCATCCTGCTTTGCTCTCATGCTTTCCTCATGGCATTAAGGGCTATTGTCTGCCTGTTCTTTTGTGTGTCTAGTTTTCTACATCTTGTTTACCATTATATTCCTAATGCCTTGCACACCTCCCTGAGAAGTAATGCATGGTGAGTCCTAGGTGAAGATGGGACCAAGGGAGTGAAGACCAGGAGTAGCCACTGGATGTTTCCACTTCATCACAGGGGTCAAGTTGTGGGGTGGAAACATAAGGCTGGCACAGCTCTTACATCTATCTAGAAGCTGGGAGCAGAAAAGATGACAAGAAAGAAATGAGAGGTATGAGACCAGACAAAAAGCCTCTGGGCAGAGGGGTAAGGTGTGAGAGGTGGCAGGTGGCACAGAGGACGGTTGGAGGGGGTGGTAATAAAGCCGAGCCTAGGCCAGAAGAAGGCAGAGGGAGAGTGTTTCCTTCCAGGCAGCAGGCGGCAGGGCACTGCGGAAGGCCAGGTCAGGCTGGAGGGCTGCAGGTGGGGTGCTACTGCTGATGCATGAATGCTGCAAGGGTGGTGAGGAGAGACAGATCACTCATACACTCACCCACTGATTCAGCACATATTCATGGAGTAATGACAATGTGCCAGCACTGAGGGTGACATGTGGGAGCTGCACTTGTGAGGAGCACAGCAGGATGGACAGGTTGTTGAATTGCTGTGTTGTACACCTGAAACTAATGTCACACCGTGTGTCAACTATACTAAAAAAAAAAAAAAAAAAGGTAATCACCCCCCTAAAAAAAACACATACAGGAGAAGGAATTCTGGGAAATGTTCAGGCTTAGCTAAATGGACAAGAACTAAGGCACCAGCTGCTCCACCACACAGCACCATACTCTGCTCCAACCCACCAGCATCTTCCTGCTCTTAGGATATATACCAACTTGTTTCTACCCCAGGGCCCTTTTCCTTGGAGCTCCTTCTGCCTGGAGGGTCCCTTCCCCACACACTGCCCAGCTTCTTATTACTCCTTTCCCCACTTACATGCTACGTTTTCCTTTTACAGAGCATCTCTTGCTCTCATTCCTCTCTACAATGCATATGGGTGGTTGCTCGGCCAGTATCAATTCCCCCCTCTCTCCTTAACGAATAGATCTACTTCCAGGTGCCTTCTCTCTCCCATGCAAGCCCTCTCTCCCAGCTCCAGAAATGTGCCCTAACAGGCTTAAATGAATCAGAAGATTTTATTCCCAGTCTCAGTCACTGGTAGAGGGATGAGTGAGAAACCTAGGCTAATGTATCTCAGTACCTCTTACGAGAATGCTGTGATGGAAGTCTCGCAGAACACAAACAAGGACACATGGGACCCTGACTCCTACTGGCAGACATCCTCCAGCCCTGCACGTGTCCCACCCTAACATGAAGCCACCTCTGTGGACTACAGAGCAGATTAGACAATTAGGTCAGTGCTGACTGTTAATCTCCTGGATCAACCAACTCCGACCTCTTCCACACCCATGAATTTATTAATCAGTATGTTCCCATGTTGTTAAGGCTGCAAAGATCAGCATGGGCTAGGCCAGAGGGCTGGATGCCAAGCCATGGGCAGGGGATGTCCCTGGCTGGTTATCCTGTGGGTTCAAGCACAAAGGATGACACAGCACTGTCACTGGCCTGGTGATGACTGTCCCAGTGTCAGCTACAATTGCTATTACAATTGCACATGACAGGCAGCAGAGAAGGGTGGGCATGAGCCTGGACACTGGTATCAGATGCATAGTTCAGGGTCTGAACTTTGGCTCGACCAGGCTCTAGACCCTGGAAAGAGCTCCTTGACCCTCCTGCACCTCGGTTCCTCCACTATAAAATGAGACAAGTGCCTCACAGCTGAGAACATACACAAACGCCTAGCACAGTGCCTGGCAGGGACTATGCATTTACCGGTTCTGGGGGTATAATAACAGCAGTGCTAATAATTACCACCATCTCTAAGCAGGAGCCAGAAAGGGACCCTGCAGGCTTTGAACCCTGGTTTAGGAAATGGCCTAACAGTATGTATATAGTTTGGTTTTGGTTTTTTTCATGTTACGCAGATCTGCTCTTGGTGCCATTTCCATCCCTTCAAGCCCGTGTGCTTATGACTGGATTTCTCTGGGTCTGCTTTCCTCTGGTATGACATAGTAATTGTACCATCTACCTTGTGGAGTTGTTCTGAAGTATTGAGAGACTTTATCGTGCATCTGGCAGCATGACTGCCCAGTCAATGGCAAAAAAACCCCAAATAAACAAACAAATAAAACCAGTAAACACACACAAAAAAAACAAGCCCCCCAACAACAAACACAGAGAAGAAAACAAACAAACCAAAAAACCATCTCCTCTTTTCATTACCAAAGCAAAGGAAGAAAGACATCCGAAAAATGTGAAGGCCCAATCAGGTGGGGAGCGAGTACTCAGGTCTCTCCCAGTCCCAAGGCAGAAATCACACTTTCTTGTCACTATTACCAACAGTTGTGCTGCTTGCCACAGGAAGTGCCCGGCCCACAGGGGAACCCTACTTGGGCATAGGGTTTAGTCCAGGAAAGCTCAGCCACCAGTAGGGAAGCAGCTGTTGGTGGTCTCTTTTGTGAGCCTCACAGGACACTCAACGTGGCTCTCAGAAAAACTATTTTTGATTTAAAACCCCTCACTGATATAGGAGAAAATAGCGATGGGGCTAATTCAAACTAGAACTGGTTGAATATCTGGGATACAGATTACTGTCAAATACACATCATGAATTGGTAATACCTTCAAAGTGACGCCTATCACATTGACAGCCTCTTTCAGCTGAGGATGGCTCGTACACTGGGCAAGCTCTTCGCATATCCAGACCCCCAGGGAGCAAATGGCAATGCATCTTTTGAAGAAGAAGGAAAAAGAGGAAAACTCTCAAAAAATTTCACATATTTTCTTGGTATTTTCAAGTGACAAAAGTATTTTAAATCTTTTTTTTTTTTTTTTACAAAGTAGCAAAAATTACACATACACTAACAGAGTGTCTTCCTGAGAAAAAATATAAGGTACCCTCAATAGTTCAGTTTTCAGGACAACACAAATAATGACATTGGTTAATAATTATTTAATGAAGTAAATGGTATATTTCCTGTTAATAGTCACAGCCCATATATCAGTTACTTTTGCTGACATTTTTCTTTTAATTTTAGAGAGCACACCCATGAGTGGAGGAAAGGGGCAGAGGAAGAGAGAGAATCATTTTTTAAAATAAAATTTATTGTCAAATTGGCTAACAAACAGTGTGTGCAGTGTGCTCTTGGTTTGGGGGTAGATTCTGAGGTTCACTGCTTGCATACAGCACCCAGTGCTCATTCCAACAATGCCCATCACTCATTTTCCCTCTCCCCCACTCCTTCATCCACCCTCAGTTTGTTCTCTGTATTTAAGTGTCTCTTGTGGTTTGCCTCCCTCCCTCTCTGTTTGTAACTATTTTTTCCCCTTCCCTTCCCCCATGGTCATCTGTTAAGTTTTTCAAGATCCACATATGAATGAAAACATATGATATCCGTCTTTCTATGACTGACTTATTTCACTCAGCATAATACTTTCCAGTTCCATCCATGTTGCTGCAAATGGCATGATTTCATTCTTTCTCATTGCCAAGTAGTATTCCATTATATATATAAGCCACATCTTCTTTATCCATTCATCAGTTGATGGTCCTTTAGGCCCTTTCCATGATTTGGCTGTTGTTGAAAGTGCTGCTGTAAACACTGGGGTCCATGTGCCCCTATGAATCAGCACTCCTGTATCCTTTGGATAAATTCCTACTAATGCTATTGCTTGGTCATAAGGTAGTTCTAGTTTTAATTTTTTGAGGCACCTTCACACTATTTTCCAGAGTGGCTGTACCAGTTTGCATTCCCACCAACAGTGTAAGAGGTTCCATTTTCTCCACATCCTCACCAGCATCTGTTGTTTCCTGAGTTGTTAAATTTATTGTTGCTGACATTTTTAATTACACTGTATTGCTTCAAGATAGTTTTGAGGAATAATCAAAAACATGAATCTCAGAAAATCATTGGAAATTGAGTTTGTAATTGTTTTCCCTACAATAAAACACACAATATCTACTACAAACAGAAGACAAACCCTATATTTCATTGTAAAGAATATTTGAACATAACTTCCAGTATCTGCTGCACTGTTATTTCTTTTAAACAATATGTGAAGACAAAGCCTTCTTCAAATTACACAGTCCTTTAAAAATTATCTTTCTCAATTATAAATCATTTTTAAATGGTAATTCTCTTTGGAACTGATATATTCCACTTCTTTTTGCAATGATCAAAAAGTGATATTCCTGTTAATTTTTAATGAATGCCTACATATAAAATTTAAATACTTGCTTCCAAACCTACTCACTTTCAAAACCAAAGTGGGTTCAAGCCACTACTTGGAACCAGACGTCAGCTGTAGGATGTATATGTTGCTCTTTGTAATAAGAGGTCATATCCAGTATCAACTAAAGTAAACGTACTGCTCAGCTCTCCATAGTAAAAGTTCTTTGTATTCAGTATAGCTCAGCAATTAAAATAAATATATTTTGAGGTTTTAAAACCACTATATTTCACTGGATTCTCACCTCTTTAAATTAGGATAGATTAAGGGCTTCAGAACACATTTATTAAAAGTACTTTGTAGGCTGTGTCACCTTCTACCTATACACACTCAGTATAAATAGGCAGGCCAGTTTATAAGGTATGCCTAGCCTTCTTTGGTTCTCTGACAACAGCATCATACACGAATTCCACATGCTTTGAACCCTCGATGTCCCTCACTGTAGAACTGTCTCCTCTTGCCTCATTCCTACACTTATTCTCAGTCTAGAAACTGCACTACGTATTCTTAGTCTGCACTCTTTGCCATGTATTCTATATGCTTTCAAATTGCCTCTTAATTTTCCCCCAGCTTAACTCAGACTCTGATTGTTCAACCCACTAAAATCTCTCTAACTTGGAATTATACCCCCAATCATATTTTTACCACTTCAAGAGCCTCTCTTCCTTTGCATGCTTGAATGTGTAATGTGTGTGTATGTGTGTATATAAACACACACATTTTTTTTTTTTTACAACCCATTAACCTTTCTGTTAAATGTAATTCATTCAGAGCAAAGATCTCTCATTTCTTAGGAACACCTGCATTACTCTGTAAGTATTAGCCCTGCACGAACGAGAACTTTTGTGACCCATAAAGTGGTTTCCTAATGTGAACCACTCTCACCTGGCTTGAATTTTAAAACCACACTAGCTTATAGCAGCTCTTCAATGCTACTTTCTTTCCAATTTATCATTTAGTATCCCTATCTAGCATCTTGCTATTCTAACACTCTGTTACTCCTTGCATGTTTGAGTTGTCAGTTACGTTCTCTGTATCCCAAATGTGTCCTTTGTGATCCCAAATGAGTTCAAGCTCTCAAAACTTTTTTTAGCTAATGGAAACACCACCTTCGCTCTCCTTTGTATGTCAACGTGCTTTCTGGAACTGTCTGCTGCTATGCCATCTCATACCACCCCAGTTTACATAAAAGAAACTTATATTTTTTCTTAACTTTTCTACATTACTACCACTCACAATTATAGCTATCTTGTCTCATAATTCTCCTCCATTTACTTGGAATCTTGATCATATTTCTGCTTATCTGCACTTGCATGACCTCAATTTCACTGTCTAACTCCTTTCACACTCAGCTAATAAAGAGAGCATATCATACGCATTCTATTCCATTTTTAACTCCATAGAAATTTGGCTTTCTACAGTAAGGAAAAAGTGAGAGGGGAAGGTATTGCCAAAACATGCTAAAGATTTGAATGTGGGAGGTATGTAAAAAGGAGAAATCAAGGATTTCCCCCAAGTTTCGGGATAGAAAATCTGAGATGATGGTGCCCTTTATCAAGGGGGAGTCTGCAGGATGGTCAGGAGGCTCAAGGATTCAGTTGTGCTTGTGTTAATTTTGCATGTGTTAAGACATCCAAGTTGAGATATCAAGTAGGCAGTTTAATATATAAGCCTGAATATATGGGGGGTTCATAGAAGAGGCCATGTAAATAAATGCAGTATCATCAGCAAGTAGGTGGTATTTAAAGTATAGTTAAAATGGATAAGAGTACCTAGGAGCATCATTGAGGGAAGAGAGGACCACCCCTAAACCTTGAGTCACTAAGTTGCAGAAGTGAGGTGCAGGGGAGAGACAGAACAGGAGAAGCTGTGGTGATATAGGAAGAGAATCAGAAGATTATATTCTAAGGAAGTGGCATTGTTTAGGAAGAGGGTAAAGACAGCCTAATTTCAGATTAGTAAGACAAGTACGCATATTACAGTATCTTTTTTAAAAAATATTTATTTTGAGAGAGAGAGAGCATGTATGTGCATGAGCAGGGGAGGGGCAAGAGGGAGGGAGGGATAGAGGGGAGAGAGAGGGGAGAGAGGAGAGAGGAGAGAGGAGAGAGGAGAGAGAGAGAGAGAGAGAGAGAGAAAATCCCAACCAGGCTCTGTGCTGTCAGCACAGAGCTTGATGTGGGGCTCGATCCCATGATATCCTGGGATCATGACCTGAACAGAAATCAAGAGTTGGATGCCTAACTGACTGAGCCACACAGGAACCCCATTAAAATTTCTAATGACTCCTAAAAAATTAGAGGAAATAAATAGAATGTGGAAAAAATCATCTGGAAGGAAGGAAGTTAAGAAGTAAGGAAGAATGGAAGGAAAAGAGAGGGGAAGAAATGAAAGCAAGAAAAGGGAGAAAATGAGAGAATACTGAGGACAAATAACAGAATATAAAGATGAAAAAAATACATCCAAATATCTCAGAAATTGCAGTAAATGTAAATGAACTAAAGATTCAGTTAAAAGATAAAAATCAGACAGGATAAATGTACAAAATAAACTATGTACAATTTTTGCAAAGACATTTAAAGAGAAGAATATAGAAAAGTAAGTTTAAAGGGATAGAAAATATTAGGGTGCCTCAGTGGCTCAATGGGTTAAGCATCCAACTCTTGGTTTCAGCTCAGGTCATGATCTCACAGTTTGTGAGTTCAAGCCCCATGCAGGGCTCTGTGCTGACAGCATGGAACCTGTTTGGGATTCCATCTCCCTCTCTCTCTCTGTCCCTCCCCTGCTTGCTAGTGCACTCGCTCTCTCTCTGTCTCTCTGTCTCTCAAAAATAAATAAATAAACATTTAAAAAATAAAAATAAAAGGATAGAAAATATCATTTAAAAATATCTGAATCAATATCAGACAAGTGGTCTTTAAGGTAGGGGTGCCTGGGTGGCTCAGTTGGTTGAGCGTCCAACTTCAGCTCATATCATGATCCCGCGGTTTGCAAGTTCAAGCTCTGCATTGGGCTCTGTGCTGGCTGATGGCTCAGAGCCTGGAGCCTGCTTCAGATTTTGTGTTTCCCTCCCTCTCTGCCCCTTATCTGCTCATACTCTGTCTCTGTCTCTGTCTCTATCTCAAAAATAAATAAAAGAAATGGGATTCTATATAGAGATTTGATAATTCTATATTTCTATGCAGCTCCTAATATAGCTTCAAAATATATAAAACAAAGATTGACAGATATATAAGGAAAAATAGACAAATGTACCACAATAGTGGGATATTTTAATCCATCTTTCTCAGTTAATGATGAAAAAAATTAGAAAGAACTTAAGATATTTGAAAGACATGATTAAAAAATTAATTGAATGGACACATTGAGAGCACCACACCCAAGAACTGAAGAAATGATATACACATTCTTTTCAACCATATATAGGGCATTTGTAAAAATGACTACATATTGGGCTATAGAGCAAATCTCAACAATTTCGAAGACTGTCACTTGGCAGACAACATATTTAATCTACGATGCCTTTAAGACATCAGTAACAAAAAATAAAAATAAAAATAACTATGTGTTTAGAAATAAAGAAATATATCTCTAAATAAATTGTGACTCAATAAAAGAATCATAATGGAAACTGGAGAAAATTTGTAGTGGAAAAATATTACATATCAGAATGTAGAAAACTCAGATAAAATAGCATTAGAAATAAATATATGGACTTAAATGCTGGTATTTGTAAGGAGAAAGGCTGAATTAGTATACTGAGTTAATATATTGGTATATATCAGAATTAATATACTGATAAAAATAAAATGAGTGACAGAAGGTAAAGAAAGCAAAAGAAAGAATATTAAAAAGAGCAGAAAGTAGAAAATAAAAACAAATACAGAATAAAGAGGCTGAACAAAGACAAAAGTATATTCTTTGAAAAGACTAATAAAGTTGATAGGTCTTTGGCAAGATGTGTGAGAAAAATCACAGAGTACAGAAAAGGGTCAAAGATTATGAAGTGCATATATGTAGCAGATAGCTACAGGAGTGAAAGAGATGAAAAGATAGCAAAAGGATAATGGACCCATCAGGAATGTCAGGGCATTTCAACACTTAGAAGGAATGGACAAACTTCTAGACAACTTTAGTTTATCTAAGCTGTCAAATAAAATAAAACGTGTTAAAATTCCTAAACAATCATGGAAAAAAATAAGTCCGTGGTTAACCTTCTCATAAATACCCAGAACTAGATAGTTTTACCATCAAAGTCTAAATACACAAGAGCATGAACTCTAATTTTACAAAAACTCTTGCTGACTTAAGAGAATGAAATAAATACTTCACTCGTTTTGGAAGAGTACATAATCCTGCAATCAAGCCTGGTAAGGACAGGATGGGGAAAGAAAATGACAGGCCATAAATATAAACGTAACTTTCCTGAACAAAATGTCAGTCAAATCAGATCCAGTACTGTATAAGCTAAGTTAAGTTTATCCCAAAATTCAGGGTTACTCTAATATGAACAAATTGATAATGAATTTACAGCTTTTGGTAATGGAAGACTAGAAAATGTAGACTAAACCATCCACTGAAGCCAGTAAAGATGTTAGTTAAAAAAAAAAAAAAAAAAAAAGCAACGCCCTCCTCACCCCAATCCTCTTAAATTCATCAAAGAGCTAACGAGGCAGTGATGGTTGATGGGCTGCTAGAGAGAGAGCAGGGCAGGAACCTGTTCCTTGGAGGCAGCAAGAGGCTGAGCTGGGCTTCTGGTGACCTTATGGGGTTGGAGGCAGGGCGTAAGAAACTGGTGTCCCCTTCCCTCCACTGGTGCTCCCAGCTTTAGGCTTTACCTTGGAAGGACAGGTGGCCGCTTGTCATTATGTAGGAGGCCCAGAAAACCTATCTGGTAACACACAGCAGCAATCTAAGATGTTTGGCGGAGGCAACCAAAAATATTTCCAGACATTGCTAAATGTTTCCTGGGGTACAAAATCACCTCTGGTTGAGAATCACTACCCTATACATACACCATTTGCAAGAGTTTTGGTTTATCCTTCCATCTTGTTCTTCATTAAAAATATCAGGGAGTGCACGTATATATTTGTAATCTTTCCTTTCACAAGATTTAATAAAACCTTCTGTACCTTACAGTTTTCACTTAATAATGGCACACTTTAAAAAAATTAAGTAAAGCACTTTCTCAACATAATTCTTACTATACATAATTTTTTTTTGAGAGAGAGAGTGTGTATGTGTGTGTGTGTATGTGTGTGTGCAAGCAGGGAGAGGTGTAGAGAAAGAAAGAGAGAGAATCCTAAGCAGTGCTCAGACCAGAGCCTGATGTGGGGCTTGATCCCATAACTGTGAGATCAGAACCTGAGCTGAAATCAAGAGTCGGATGTTTAACTGATTGAGCTACCCAGGTGCCCCTTTACTATACTTTTTAGTGTGTATATGAGTAATGTGGAAAAAGTGTTTTTTTTAAACATTAACTGTTTACACATAAATTTGTATCTTAAAATCCTAAAATAGTTTACCTTTTAGTTAACATTTACCTTGCACATTCATTTGGTTCCTCTGTGGCATTCTTCAGTAAAATATTTATGAGGTAATGCTAAAAACACAAAATTAAGTAAAATAAAAACTTTGTTTAGTAGTTGGTTTCCCACATGTTCTGACTGTGTTCCAGACAGTCAGGAGCTCCTGAGGGACCAGGGAGGACCTGGGAGGAAGAGACACAGGGCTCGGGGGAGCAGCCTGGTGGTGGGTGGTCTCACCCAGAGCCTCCCTGGGCAATTAAGCCAGCCTAGAGAAGAAGGCTTCTGGGCACATGATAAAAACCTAGCAAAGCAATTGAGACTTCAGGTAAGAAAAGCTCGATTTTCTTTTACTTTAATTAGATTATACATTGTACACTAAATTATATATTATAATTATGTACCATAAATAGATTGATTCTGAGATTTGAAAAGCATATTTGTTTGCCTCAAAGTCAGTTGAGGGGAGAACAAATGCTTACTTTTATTCTCTAAGGAATGAATAACCTGACATTTCAAATTATTAGTAGTATTTAATCAGGCGAACAATGGGACTGGATATTTAGTTTATTTCAATTATTTCTTATAAGCTCATTTGATGCACTAATGCACAATTGAACCTAAAATTATTACAGAGGATGATTCATTACGTAATTATGATCCATAGGCATGATAAACAGGTCTAATAAAAAACACCCAAGGAACCTATCAGTTATAACTGCAATATGCTCTGAATCGAATACATTTAATCCCCCGAAAACAGCCTTCTGAAAAAAAAAACAACAGCTGAAACATTTAAACAATAAAGCAGAACTTTTAGGGATAAGAAGGTCAATGTACAATAATGGAAGAGATAGCCACAGAGGTAGAATGAAAAGATGCTAAACCCGAGATTCACTCAAATGCGGTAGGTACCTTAACGTCTTCGGTTCCTGTGATGACCTCACTGACTTCCGGCACAGACTGCAGCAAAGGGATCTCCCGGTAGGTATTTGGAAAGCAGACAAGAGAACCAAGAATGGTGAGAGCTTCTGAATGAGGTGCCTGTGCACAAAAAAGTGAAAGCGCCCATTTTTCTTTTGCTAAGCCAGAAACTTTACATAAGCAACAGACTTTACTTTTTCATGATTTCGAGAGGGAATATTTATAATTATTTTATCCTAGATAATATTGAACTATGCTGTTTTTTTTTTTTTCTCCAGGTGAGTAGTTAAGCAAGAGACGTTTATTTAAATGAAATAGCAAATTTCCAAGGAACTGGAAAATAACATATACTTGAATATAAAAACGCATTGTGAAAACTGGTCTGCAGATGCATTCAGAATCAGAAAAGCAAATGACTCAATTATGACTTTTACCTTTTATTTTCATGCTTTTAGTCTTAATGTTCTTGACAAGTCAGGGTAAGTGATATCAACTTAGTATTATTTTTGCTGTGAAGACAGTTAACAAAAATTCATAAGGGAGAGGGGTTGAAGCTGAATTTCAGAAGGCAGAGAAAGAACAGACATCATCTACCAAATTTCCCATCTCACCAAGAACTACTTTGCAAAACAAGATATAGTGATTGACATCTAGTGAGATACAAAATCACTTGTTTGTCCATTACTGAAATCAGGAATATATCAAAGGAGGTATTTCACAAGATTTCAGTTCAGCCAATACTTACTAGCAGCTATGATTAGCCAAGAATAGGGCAGGCAGGTACCAAGATTACAGAGGTATGTCACTTGCCCACTTCCCATCTGTCTATCCATCCATCTTTTTTTTTAAGTTTATTTATTTTTGAGAGGGGGGTTAGTGAGGGAGGGGCAGAGAGAATGAAGACAGAGAATCCTAAGCAGGCTCCCTGCTGTCTACACAGAGCACAAACCACAAGATCATGAACTGAGCTGAAGTCAAGAGACAGATGCTTAGCCGACTGAGCCACCCAGCCATCCATCCTTCTATCTACTATTATCTACTAATTATAACAATGGCGGCAAACACAGAACTCTCACTTGGTGCTAGGCACTGTTCTAAATGCTGTACAAGCATTTCGTCCTAGAATACCCTCAGCAACCCAATGACCTAGATACTATTATCATTTCCACTTTACAAATGAGAAAACTGAGGCTCGGAGAAATTCAGTGGCTTTTCAAGTGACAGACCCTGATTTGCACTGAGGCCATCTATCTTTAGGGTCCACACTGGGCCTATATTGTTAAGCACTCAAGGTAGGAAATGAAAGGGAGTCTCCCTCCCCCAGAGAGATTGCAGTGAGGCACGCAGAGTGTGGGAGGAGAGGCAAATAGTAGTTATATGCAATTCAGGGAAGCATGTGCTATGTGAGCCATAGAGTGGGAATATCACAGAAACCCAGAACATTCATCTTTTACCTCACTTGGTTCTCATCAGCACACAGGTAAACAAAAGACAATATAAAACACATAAAGAGATATTCTATGGTAATCAAAATGAGGCAATGGTTTGTTCTGTTCAGGACAGTTAGGGACACTAAGACCAACTGCTGCTAAAAGTCACATAAAACCACAGGAGCCAGTCAGGCTGGTAGAGTGAGGGAGTGAGGTGAGGGGTGAGAGGCATGGTATGGACAGTGGGAATGGAAAAGGCAGAGGACCCGGGTACCCATGGACCTGAAGAAGGCCCCAAGTGCACAGTGCTGGGAGGCCATGGAGGCCCTGGAGTTCCCCAGTGGTGGAGTCTGAGAAAGACACCAGGGCTCCCAGGAAGAGAACCCCAGGGCCACGTGGCACAGTTCCCATCTCACTGCACCTGAACAGTGGTCCCCTCAGAATGGAGCAGGAGTGTGGGGTGATGGATGCTCTAAGGGAGAGTGGAGTATGAGGCGGTCACTGAAGCACAGCACAGGTCGGAGTGAAGGCAGCTATGAGTGCAGCCATGGCATCAGGGATGAGGTCGCTGTATCTTTTATGGTTTATTTCATTTTCTACATACAAATACAAAGCATTGATGTAGGTGCTTGCTCCTTCGTGCCTGGGAACACCTGCATCATTTGGCCCTGGGGCACTTTTCTTGGCTCCTAAGGTAGTCTGACAGTCTCAGTGCTGGAACACCTCATTTCCTCAGGATCTAACTCTGGGATGTTGACTGCAGTTCTGTGCCCTTTTCTCTCTCAGATCTATATTCATTCCCAAAGGATATTCAGACCCATGATTTCAATGCCTCCTAAACGTTGTACTCCTCGGTATTTCTCTCTAGACCAGACTTCCCTCCTGAAGTCCAGATTTGTATGTCATCTCGTCTCAGGTGTCAAGAGGGATCTCACACTGATGAGCTTCACCTGGACCACAGTCCTGTCCTTCTGTGTAACACTACCTTACCTTCAGCACTCTGTCCCCTCATCCGAGGCCTTTCCTTTCCTTTATTTTATGTTAAGAAGCAAACTCAAGACATTGTGCCATTCTACCTCTGAGGTCTCCAGCAACCCTGCTTTGGTTTTTTCTTTGCATACATCACTGTCTGAGTTGTTAGTCACTTAGTATTTGTAACCACCACAAAGGGAGGGGTTAGGTCATCTTCATCACTTCTCTACCCCAGTGGGTGCTCAATAAGTAGCATCTTGAGATAAGGGGCGGCTGCTGCTGACCCCGTTTATCTGATGAACACTGATGGTCTTTCAGGTCTCTGCCTCAGCTTCACTTCTTCCGTGAAGACCTTTCAAATGTATGTCTTCCCCTCCACCTCTCACCCAGCAGAATGAACATTTCCTCAGTTGGTGCCCCTCTGGGTTCTGGATGTGATTCTACTGTAGCTTCTAGAAACGTACATGTAAGTGAACACTTGCTGTACCCATCATCTGGTTCCTTGAGGGTAAGGGTCTTGTCATACTCAGCTAGAACAGGTCCTAGCATGTAAGTGCACAGTGTTTCTCAAACAGCCTTGCTTTGTTGGCCTTCACTAACTGCTGCCCTTTATTCACCAATCTTTTTTTTTTTTTGACTATCCACCAGACAATCTCATTTTAGACTTCATCGAGATTGATACCTTCCCCTGAGTGGCCTTAACTATTGTGTCGTACATCAAGCCCAGCTTGAACTGTGGACATTTAGGTTGCATGATAGGCTATATAACAACTAGATATAAAACATCAGGTCTTAAATAAAATATTCAATGAATGTAGTAAATCGAAATAATTTTTTGGCCTAAGCACTGAGCCCAGGGGAAGACCAAATTTATACACAGGAGAAAGAGGCCTGTGTGCCTAAACATACTGTCTAAGGATAGAGAACAGTACAAGGCAACATAGAGATGGAACCCAGGTCCAACCCTATACAGTTCCAGGATCAAGCACAGAAAGGGGATTATATGCAATACTCTGTCTTACGTGCACAACACCATGTATCTGTTCCATTGGTGATGGACATTTGGATTAGTTCTAGGTTTTGGTTACTGCAAAGAATGTTTCTTGGGCACGAGCTCTTACACATCTTTCGGTGACCTGTGCACGCACTTCTCTTTCCTTCAGCAGGGCATAGCAAGGGTACTGCAAACTTGTATTTAACTTGTGTTAGCCAAAAACTTTGACTGAGTAGGCATATTCCATCACCAGTTCCCCTACAGCTTTAAACCTCAAGTTTAAACCAAGAGAGAAATTCTAAGTAATTTAGAGTTACTATTCCTTCATGTAACTCTTACATTCACATGATCATATTTTCTTTCTCTTTTTTAAAAAATATTTTGGAAAGCTACTTTAATATATCTAGCCAAGAGATAAGTTTTCACAGAGACTGACTGCCATGCATGGCATCATCTCTAGAAAGGATGCCAGCATTTTTACAGGAAACTCTAGTGTCAAGTAAGAAAAATATCAATAAAGAAGCATGCTTTTTTCCTATATCCTGTGAAGTTATTCAATGTTGATCTGAATGGAAAAAATAAATTTGAAGGTTCTTTGAGAATGATTATCCTAAAATTTTTTCAGACTTAAAATAGTATAAAAATTTGTCCTATTCCTTAAAAAGAAAACAACAGTTGAACAAATTCAACATCTTTCTTCTTCCTTTTTTTCTTCTAGTTTTCTTTTTTTATACTTCCCTTTCACCTCTGGCTCTTTTCCCTTCCCTTTGCTTTTTAACTTATCCTTATAAGAAAAAAGTTAGCACATGAAAAAATCAGCATGAAATACCATCTATATAAGGTATTAAAACAACTTAATTTAAAATCCATGGTTGCAGTTTGAATTTACCCTGCAGAGAAGTAAGTAGAGTGAAAAAGTAGCAATATATTAAACAAAATTTAGGTGGCTAGAGACTCATACTGATTTCAATACAAGTCCCCAGAAAACAGTAAAGCTAAATTTATTCACAGCATTTGAAAAGGAAAACAGTGAGTCTAAACAGGTAACAGTTGTACAGAGCACAAAAGTGAGAGGTCCTTTCTATGTAAATGTAAAAGTGTTCTCTCAAAAGGCATTAACACATTGCCCTAATAATGGAGGTAAATGTGGAGATTGCAGATAGTTTTTTTGTAGCCATGAATGTTCACTTAGTCCACCTGATTTTCATTTTTTACTGTAAGAATTTTGCCAGTTTTATTGCACATTAATATGTATTCAATATCTGCTTAAAATTTAAATGTTCTAACATTAAAAAATATTTTATTAGACTTATAATAACCAAGACAGTAATTTAAAAAATTATTGATAATATACACTTAAAATTCTCTCTTTACTACAGACATCTCTGTGCCACCATTTACTGCAAAATGCTAATAGACTCTAAGAGACATGTCCTGCATCTGACTGTGTAAATGTGCTGAAATATTAGTGAGGATATGATTTTTCACACTCTGGCCTTTTGATGAAACGCCTTCCCAATACCAGTGTGTCATCTTATCCTACAATTTCACACATCAGCTGCCAGGGCATCTACCCCAGAGCCCAGTTTCACATTGCACTAATGAGTCAACACCTGTTAAGAGTGGAGAAATCTGAACCTTGTTAGCGATTGTGAAGCCTCCTGGGAGTTTGGATGCTGAGCATTGTCATACTTACCGCCGGCGTGTCTGTACTGAGGACCCTGGCAGCGGCCGTGATGAAGTCTCCCACCAGCATTGAGAAGCCAGGCAAACCCAGGGAGAAGAAGCGGGGAGGACAGTGCCTTATAATAGTATTTAAGATATCCTAGAAGGGAAGATAAGAAAGCACAGCTCTAATTTTCAAGAACAAAATTCCACAGTAGGCACTTCATTTGTAATATGGCCACTGTATGATAACCTAACGGTCACAGAAATTTTTCAGTCAAGAGGGGAGTGGGAGATGACCTCACCCATCTCCAAGGGCTCTCATACCCATTTTATAGAAAGCAAAGGGACACTAAGTTGTAAGATGATGTGCCCCAAATCTAAAGCATGGCATTGGGACTAGACACTTCTTCCATCTTCTACCTGAAGGTGAGATCTTCAGACAAGCTCCAGGAGTGTTGAGGTAGATATATAAAAAGACCTGCAAACATCTATTTCTTTCAAAACCATCCAATTTTCAAAAGTTAAAGCACGCTGTTCCATGAAAAAAATCTTTAAGTAGGCAAGGAGATGGACATTTTTACTCTTTGGATAATTCTGTGTGTTAAACAATGGGAATGAATAGAGCATGGTCATATTCTAAGCTTGGGCAGTCAGTGAGGCTTTGGGTACAAGTGTGACCGTGAGGAAAGCGCAAATGTAGCAGTCGCCATTTACATGCAGCATGAAAACCCCCGACTGCCCAGACACCTGGTGTTGCCGTGTCTGGAGTGGCCTGTCCGAGGTGGGTGGCAGACTGTCCCCTGTCCACCAGCTCTGTTTTGAGACAGCCACCACATTCCGGCCTATGGCAGAGCAGGGCTCCACTACCAGACAGCATTCATGCCACCCATGGTCAGGCCACAGCTCTGAAGCCACCTGTGCGAATGTGTGTGTGTACACGGGGAATTAGTCAGAAAAGCACAAACTTCTCTTACGAAATTCTAGGCCATGCACATTAATCAAACATACTGAAGTACTAGAGTTATGTGTCTTGTCGTTATTCAACCTATAGTTAGTCTCAAAATATAAACAAGAAGCAAAACTTTTAAAAATCTGATTTATTTTCTCAGATTTCATTGTGATTATTTTTAAAAAATCCTTTAAAATAATCCAGGGGCACCTGGGTGTCTCGGTTGAGTGTCCAACTCTTGATGTCAGTTGGCTCAGGTCATGATCTCATGGTCCATGAGATCAAGCCCCACATCATCAGGCTGTGCACTGACAGCGTGGAATCTGCTTAGGATTCTCTCTTTCCCTCTCTCTCTGCCCCTCACACACTCACCCACACACTCTCTTTCTCTTTCTTTCAAAATAAATAAACTTAAAATAAATGAATAACATAATCCTGACTCAATTTAATTAAATTAGAGCAAAGTAGCAGCAACATGCTAAATCCTAACATGTTAAGTCCTTTGCAATACATATAACCCCATTTCACAGCTTGTAATCTTGAAAGAGAATTTATATGTGTTCACAATACATTTTTTTCCAAGACTTATTTTTGTCCTTACATAGGAGATTCATTTAGTTTCTATGAATTGTGCTGTTCATATCCTTAAAATGACTATCCTGTGTTTACTCCATTAGAGCTCATATGTAGTAAATAGTTTAGCAAGTACTAATTTAAAGTTTTAGCATTTCAACAGAGGTTTTCCTATACCAAAAATACAGAGATAGATAAATAGACAGATAAAGGAAGGAAGGAAAGAAAAACCTGAACCACACTTCTCCCAAGTTAATGTTTAACCCTGCTTTAATCACGTCCTTTGATACACTTTAGAGTCCATATCAGCCAAGGCAAACATTCTAAGGGGCTGAGCAGATGGATGCTGTAGTTTAGAAAGTGTGTAGTAAACTCATGCTCTAAGAGTGGAACAAAAGATCCACCTTTTTCATAATTAAGCCTCTGATTAATGCCCTGGGCTCCTCACCACACACCTGTAATTACTCACAGAGGTGCGCATTGTGCTGGGCCTTGTCTTAGAATATCAGGCATCAAGCTACCTGGCAGCAGATGGAAGCACATTTCTGTTGACATATGCCACACTGAAAGGATTCGTGTCAACCTGGCCAGCAAGGTAGCAGAATGCCGTGCATCTGAAGATTAATAATGCAAACAACCACCATGTTAACTTTGTTATGTGTGTGTTCATTCCATCTGTTGAGATGAGGAACTAAGCCTTGAACCCTGAAGATTTTAAAAATCTTTGGCACATACTTAAATAAGCTATTTTCACCACCGGAATTTAGAATTTTAATTAAAAAATGCTTTTCTGGGACAAGTTTATAGCAATTAGGAACTAAGTCCTTTAACAAGCTAAGGCAAGAATTTCTAAGTGAAATCATTTTGCTTCATAAGATTCATGTGTGTAAAGGTAAAATGTGCTGTCAATGGGGTATTCACAAAAAATTACTAAGCTGCCACTGATGCTAAAGACAGCAGAAGTGAGTGGAGCTGAGATAAAGTCACACAGCTCCCCACCCCTGGATCTGGGCCAGTCATTTCAACGGAACCTGTTTCTATGGGCAAGAAGATTGGAAAGAGAGGGCAAAATAACAGATGGCTAGCCTACCCTACTCTGCCACCCACGTAAGAAAGAGCCCTGAGGAGGAGAAGTGGGGCCTGAGTAGCTGTCGCCAGTTAAAGGCAGCACTGGGGTAGGGGTAATGTGGGACTCAAAGAGGGAACTGTATGGCCAGTCAGCCAAATTATGGCCATATGCCTGATTATTTTGCTTGTCCACACTGAAATGTAACAACCCAAAGATTCTATCTTTGTGTTAACATGTTAAAATTAGGAATAACTGTGTGGTGCTCAAAAGAGAACAGCTGCATATTCCCAATGGAGGGACATCCATTGAGGGCTCCACTCATATCTAGTAGAATCTTCTTTCACCCTCTCCTCCTGCTTTAACCACAGTAAGATCATAGCTTTTGCCAGAATCTCTGAAAAAATAAAAATCTTGAGACTCTGAACTTTCTGCAGTCTCCAGGGCTTCATATATAGATAGGATGATGCTTCCCGAATGGTCAGTTATTCATGTACAACCTCATGCCTTCTGCTAAATTCATGTCCAAAGAGAACATTATTTGTCTGTTTTTTTAAAGCAACTACCCCCCCATTTTTTTTTAACTTAAATAAGATTATTTTGGAAAACTAGTGTCCTATGTCACAAATAGAAAACAGCCCTTAGGTCAATACAGTAACAGTTAAACCAAGGCTACTGAATTTTTGCTGCTTATCACTGTCTGATGGAGGCCCCCCTTGTGAAAAAGGGTGGTTTGGTCCTCAGGGTGGTGTGAGAGTTCTATAACTGCTCCAACTGGCCTAACCAAGACAGTATCAAGGACTGGTGGAGATGAGGAGAGGGGCCATCATTCTTCCTGGGTGACAGGGAGCTGTTTAGTGAAACCTCCCCTGTGACCACCAGTGGGAAATGCCCCTGAACTCAAACACTGGTGTGATGAAAAGTACACTAGGACAGGCGCCTAGAGGCTTAGGTTCAAGGCCTAGTGTATGTGGCTATGGGCAGATCATGTCATGCCTAGAGCTTCATGTTTTTCTTCCATTAAATGGGATGATTCTCTCCTATAGAGTCATACCTAATGATATAGGTGTGGACACATGCCTTTCTAAATTGACCTGAGAAGTACTATACAGAAGTGAAGACAGTGACAAGTAAAAAAAAATATTTTTTTTTCAAAAAGGGAAGGACTCTGAAGGATTTTACTTTCTAGAATTTACTTCGTAGGTTTCATTTACTTTGTAGAATTCTATGGAATTCTATGGACTATTATTTTACTGATATTCAGAAAGAATATCTTAGAAGATTCTGAAGGTAGCCTCTTAGATGATGTTATCCCAGATACTAAAAACCTCTTGACATTAGTGCTCTCAAATAACATTCTTAGCTAAGCATTACAGCCATTAGCTATAATGTATATAATTTCTAAGGCAAATAAAATAAAAACAGGAAAATGATATTTTTAGTTTCTAGCTTCCATTCTTCTAAGGAGTTCTAGAAACTTCTCTGAAACAAGTGAATCTGGTAGCAAAAATTAGTTTCTTTCCTCATACTCTAAATAGACTAAAAATAATAAGCTGAACAATAAGCCCAATGAAAAATGGACTCTAAAACAAGAAATTTGGTTTTGAGAACTAACCAGTGTGAAGCACAAAGCTCTTGAACATGTTTTTGTCCAAAGGAAATAAAATTCATTCTTCAAAATGCTACCATATAGCAAAAAGACCACCAAACTAATGCTTTTCTCCTGTTTCTGGCTAAAAGTCCACACGCATGCTACACGGTGAGTGTGAAAGCTGGACTGTAAGATGATAATTGTGAATTTGCAGCTTATCAAAAGATTCCAGCTTATGAGAAAGTAACTGGTGAGAACATCTGTCTCTTATCACTGATCTTACAAAAAATCAGGTAATTCAAATAGAGGCGTGTTGTTTCCTCTCCTCCAAAGCACCGTTCTATAAACACAAACTGCATTCAGCCTGGTAAATGAATCGCTTTAATTGAATGCTATGTACACAGTAACTGGAAAAACCATAAGTGATAAGAAAAACATATGGTGATGGCAACAGAAATTGGTTTATTCATTTTGCATAGTGTTGTTTCTTTAGTTCTCTTATAATTGACCTTTAGAACGATAAATGTGTAAAATAATTTTGTTTATTATAGCTCCAAACCTTCCAACAATTACACAAAATGAAAATTTAAAAGGAAGGATTCATTCTGGAAGCATTTCAATTGTTTACATAATTGCACAGCTATAATTTAGTGCTCGTGTTGTTACGGAAAATAAAAAAAGGGCCATTACAGGCCATTTCAATTCAAAATATTGCACAGTGGAGTCAAAAATGGGGGAAAATGTTCACTTTAAAGCAGTTTAAAATGGATTAACCCTGTAAACAAAAACATTTCAATATAGTGTTCTATGAAACAGAAATGTTCAAGAAGTAGCCATCGTTCAAATGGAATTAGAAATGTTGCAACTGTACTTTCACACCAATTACATATATATTATTCACTTAATATTTGCTCACGGCCCGGCAGATGATGGTTGTAACACAATAGCCGACCATCTGTCTCCCTGCCTTTCCTTAGC